TATTGGCAAGCATCTTGTCTCTCGCGCTTCAAAAAGCCACAACATAGAGATGTGATTCTTAATGAAATAAAATTTCTCATACTAAAATTGATTAAAACAAAAGACAAATTCGCGCACTCACACGACCAGTAGTTGCATCTCCAACGGTGGAATCATCTTGACGACGTAGGCGCCTTACCTAGATTCTTTGGTGAACACCGATTTCCTTAACACTAGGCGTTCTATTGTTTTGATCAGTGAACGTTGTTCGGGTAAAAAAATTAGCATCTGCGATTTTAGATTTGCCTTTACTGTCGTTTTCTAGGTTACTTTCTAGTGTCCTGCACTCAGTTTGACTGCATGGCAGTTTTTTTTGGCATTTTAAACTGCACCAAACGATTTAAACTGGCCCAGGGTAGTACGGAAACAATTTTGTCTGACACATCCACTCGACTAACGTGATAAGATAAAACGGTAAAAAACACACTGCACGAAGTGACGTCTATTGAACACACTCTTAGAGCATCAATCACTAAGTTCAATAGTTCACATTATTGCTCTCAGCAAAATAACTTGCTTAAACATCGATTTATTATCTTTCATTCTTAAATAGATCTGAAAGTAACACAAGAGCTAAGCTCATAATCAACAATCGTTAAAACCATTATGCGTTCTTGAGAGACTGTTTTGGCTAGCACGCCCTGAGCTTCGCGCTAGCTGAGGCTATAGGAAGCCAGACTATTTTGATATAGGCCTGCGCCGTTCTCAGGTAAGGCCTAGGGAGAAAAAGGCCTTTTGAAGATCTAGGTACCTACCAATTCCCCAGAATCTCGAGAGAAGCAATCTCAAGATGACCCGTCGTTCGTAAGATCTCCGGTCCCCGAAATGGACCTACCTGCTGCATAAGCGTCTGCTCCCTTGTGAAAAGAACTTCGATTCAAGCCAGCAGAAGCACCAACAGATGACCACTGTATTTACGTTTCGTTTAATTATCTGAAAGTCGTTTAATGGTAACTTCTAAACTATCGCTTTTTAAAAAATGACTTTTGTTTGCATCTCACCAAAATTGAAGCTATGCCAGAATAACCGGAAAATCTATACTGGAAACTTTATATATGATTGCGTTCTATTTTCCTGACCAAGTATATCCGATAAACAACTAACAAGGCGCATAACTTTTCATTTAATGCCCTAACTATAATTAGGATATTTACTTGAGATCTTTACTAAGACCTTTGCTGTCGCAATATAACACACAACATATAACAACAATGTCCCTAACTAGTCAATTTTCCTGAGCTGTTTGTCTTTGCAGACCAGAGGATTAAACTGATCTGAATCAGTGTATAGCCTATGTGACAGGCACATCCTAACACGAACCTTCTCCTTAATTGTCAACAGTATTATGATCGTAGTTGGCCACATGAAAAAAAGTAGTATCAGCAATTCATAGTTAAATGCAAAGACTTATTAATCTATGAACTAGACAAATGGAAAAGTGTTAATGAGAACTATGTGATGCAAGTGATGATTATGATTGCAAGTGGGTTTTTCTCCTGGTACGACACTCAGCTGCTATGACACAGCATATATAGTATCCAACAAGCCTTTAACGATCAACGATTTTATTTCGTCGAAATTATTAAAAAAGAAAAGAAGCACGGTGGTTTGTCTGCTTTTTGGCAAATAAATATTCTGCCAACTACCTTCAAATCTACATCCAGGCAACAATTATTTTTACTAATATGTACAGCCAATTATCGATGGTCAGTGAATGCACATATTTAGCTTTCTTAGCGAACCATGTATATTAGACAAAATCGTAAAGTTATGGGGTTTAATTTTACCAGAATTTAATTTTTTTCAGCTTTATCTATAGGCTTACTTTTGTTTTAACTTGAGGTTTTTTAGGTATACGTGTATAGCTTGTCATTTTATGTCGAATACGATCCATTACAGTATTAGAAGGCATACGCCATCGAAATGCCGTATGGGCAACACCGCAGACTTCGAACATTCGGAACCGGTGCTAATCAAACAGAGCATATGTGAATCGATGCGACTTTACACTCAATAAAGTCTATTATAATTATTATTATCATTAACTATTATTATGTCAATCAGTCTAAAAAGCGACAAAAAAAAGTCAATCTCATATTTCAAAATCGCACTGGTATAAGATTTCAAGACTTTTTTTTTGTTGTCGAGATGCAATTGTATTCTGTGGAGTCTAAAGTTATCCACTTAAATATAATCACTCAGGCCTTTAGCAGGCAAGCCACACTGAAACATGGACAATGAGAAAATTGCAGTGATTTACAAATATGAGTTTTGTTTAGTTACAAAAGCGGCAGATACACCTTGCCATATAAAGTTTGTATTCGATGAGGAGCCTATTACTTGAAGCGCCGCAAATCTTCAATCCATTTTACTAGATAATGAGTTTTTTTGAACAGCTTATGTTTGACACAAATGCTATACTTGTTCATCTCGCCCGAATTTTTTAATTTGGCAATTTCAAACAAAGGGGTGCTACATGATTTAAGCGAGGATTAAAAACAAATAATATATGTACATATATATATGTAAGATTTGCTTCCAAGTTATATATAGAATGCAACGGATGATTTGATATATATATTATGACCAATCCTTTGCCAAATCTTTTACCATTACCTTACCACCTAATAAGATAACCACAATTTAATCCATATTAGGGAGACAATCCACCGGATTGAAACCAAAAGTATAGAGGCTTTAAAAAATAAGATATTTAAAACCAAATAGTTTTGGAATATTCCTATTAACTATTGTATGCTTCACAAAAAGGATCGCTTTTATTGCACGCGTTATGAGATCAGCCTTCCACGACTATGGCTATGAAAATTTACAAACGTACTCTAAGTAAATGAGCGTGTCGTTGTCTTGGTGCTTACAGGCATCGTGCTAATGTACTCACCTTTACTATGCTCGCGATTTCGATATAATTGCTAATTGCATGAATTGTATGTTCCAAGCGTACATCTTTTACCATAATGCAAATGCCACTGGGCAAGTAATTAATTACTTTATAAACGTATTGTAATTTCGCAATAATGTAGGTGTACTATTTAAAATTTCCTAAAGTGGTGCTCTAGAATATCAACATATTTATTGATGCAGTGACTAATAATAAATTTAGACATTAATATAACTTAAACAAATTATTTTGCTTAGTAGACTAGAAGATACAATGAATTCCTTTGCGGCTAAAATACTCTTCTCAATGGATCCCATTTCTATCTGAACAGTGGTTTATCTTATGCATGTCTTGTGGAAATTGACGCTGAAATTACACTTACATTGTCTATTAGTAAGTAGAACCTTTAAATGCCGCTTTTAGGAAATGCGACCATTTTTTGCCATGCGATTTGATTAAAATTATTTAAGAACTTACCGTTTCTTCTCCTGAGAGTCTAAACTCCGACCAAGGCCGAACGTCCTGGCAAGCATGGCACTTACGCTGACAATGTCTTCTTTGCCACTTCACCGTGCCAAAAAGCAACCAGGCCAAAGGCTCGGCTTATTCGCTACTAGCCGATCTTATTCGAGGTCCTCAGTTCAAACGAGGCAGGCATCCTTGGTCACTAACTAGCCGCATTTTCATCCCTTAGGTTTTCACACTCTCTCGGAATCAACCACTTCATGAAAAAAATTTAAATACGACTTAAAGGCCATGGAGGAAATACTTTAATGTAGGTTCACAATGGTGCACCTTGGTTGCCATAGAGATAATGTCAAATAAAGGTGTTCAAAATGCTATCTGTATATATTTAACCTATTGTTTTTCCAGGAACATATGTATTGCAAATAACCTGAAATGCGGATTTGACGGGAGATACGTCTTTTTCCCAGACTTATAAGTTATATTTGGAGTTGTTCTTATATTATATGGTACATAACCTGCCACAAACTGAAGTCAAGTTTATTAATAGAACTTTCTGTATTTATTCGCTAGCCCAAACCGACTACATGCCTTCAATGGCATAGGTAAGACAGACAAGCTCGGTCTGTCACATATTTTCCATCTGACGTTTTACTAATCGTCACAGTACAAAACAGAGCAGCGCCAGAAGCAGGAAAATTGGGACGAAAAATGTCGTTTGTCAATAGCAATATTCACCGGCCATAGGATACCAATAGGCTAACTGTGACCATCCCAGCGTGTCGAGTTGAATAGAAGACTTGAAATTTACGAATCGTGGACCCATGAGATATTTTCTTGATACCGCACAATACTACAGCCACACTCACATTTCCATACGTAAACAATCCACAAAATCACCTTTCTCCCTTCTCCTTCGGGGTTCTTCTTCTTGCTAACAATCAGCCCGTCTATAGAAAGATAGATATCTACACACAGGGATTGCCACAGCAATGTTAGGAGCAAGTAGGAACTTCACACAGAAGACGCCGCCAGCGGTTAAGCACGCCCCTGGCCTCCGCGCATCGCTGACTCAACTAGTACGCAGCTCATTCCACAATGTTACTGCTCATCGCGTTCGAGCAATAAGACCGTCATGTGCTACTTCTCTTTAATCTATTTATCAATAGAAATAGGTGACAGCGTCACGGTGATTTCGCATACACGCACCGACAGAATCAGCTAACTCAACATGACAGACACTCTAAAAAGAAAAACAATTCGTGTCTTGTGGGAAGTCTCATAGCGGAGGCGATCATTCATGCTTCACACACTGCACTAAAACACCGACACCAGCATTACCATAGACAGAGATCTCTGTGTTGACGAACCTCACTGCTCAGCCGGCATCAGCCGCTGTTGCACTTCAGCTATCTGCCTGCAACAGCACAGATCCCGCCCCATACACTAACCAAAACTATTTTATTGTATCGGTTCCAAGCATTACTGTTAGTGGCTATGGAAGCACGAGCTCGACTAACGGAAGCTACTTTAAAATATGAGTGGATATGTTTCGTTTTTTAGCTGTGTGGATTCGTGGAGTCCAAATGTCAATACAGTAAAACCTATACGGCGACGCAGAGATAGCCAGATCAGCGAGAGGGTCAGTTTTGTTGTAGACTGAGAACGAACATTGGCTGATTTTCTATCGTCACTTGGGTACGGTGTTGTTTGTTTTATTCCTGCTTCAGGTTTGTCTGCCGCATGTTTGCCTGCCGCTAGTGTGCAGTTGGCTGTTGGTGAAGTGACAGGGGTGAAGATGGTTCCGGCTGTAAATAGCAGCAGCGGTGCAAAGAGTAAAGACAAAAGTAAACTTATTGGACGAGTTAATTTTCCTCTGTGTACAATCGATGTCGTGTCCGAAAGACACGTGTTCGTTGCTGGTGGCGGTGGCCGTGCTAAAACAGGCGTGCCCAACAAGATGGTACGTAAAATTGCGAAAATAGTAGTACGATGGTTAAACAGGAGCAAGCTGCGAGAAGACAAACCTCAAATAATGACGTGTCAGCTAGTCAGAATTGTATCTGCTTGCAGAGACCTATTGCTGCGATCTGAATGTCGATCAGCTGTTACCATCGTGGATGATTGAAGTCTGTTCGCAACACAAGCCTACAATTTACATAAATTGTTACTAGGCTAGAGACAATATTAGAACTTGAGTAGTTTAACAGCAAAATGAAAGAGAGCTGACACCCACTTTACTATGCTACTACGATCCGCTATAAACTAACATCATAAATAACTGATTATTGCGTACTGCTATAGCTGTGTTTTAGACCGGTGTTTATGAAAAATAAAAATTCGAAAATAGTCATGTTTTCACTTAATATTACATTTCAACATGCGCGTAATCGTACAGCACGGAGATTTTTTTAAGAGAATTTAGGCACCTACTTGCAATATCACATTTGGAAAGCCTGTCTTGACCACAAAAAGTAAAATCCTCGAGTATGTGCTTCACACAACCACAGAGGAGGAAAAAAATACTTAGTTTCGTACTGCTAAAAACCATGAAGGCAGTTTTCAGGCTAATAAATCAACTATCTCCGACAAGAAGCAGTTATTTAACAAGGAACTGCTTAATATAAAACATTTTTTACCCTGGAAATATAAAAATTCGGGAAATATAGGAAATATGCTGCGCAACAGATATGGTTGATAAGAGTGCGCGAGCGATGATAGTTATTATTAAACGCATTATAGGTAGATGATCGAATAAGCGCACAAAGCGAGTTTATTAACAGCAGGCAAAATCTGTTATATTAACAAAGTCGTATTATTAGTATTTTCCATTGTGCCTTCAATATGCTGAATCATTTTAGTTTTTCTGGTAGTAAGGCAAATGGTTCGAACCTGTTAATGATATATAACATAACGGTTCATAATTATTTCGCGGGCAGGAAATACTGGAAATCGTGCCGGAGGACGCTGGAGGATTCCGAGCAGAAACGGTCGCCTCCTATGACGTGGGTGACGTGATAATGTGTTCGGCTCTCTGTCCCATCAAAGATTCGAGACATCTATTTCTTGCCGTAGGAAAGGTAAACAGTAAAAGCCTTAGCAGTGGTGAAAATTATAGTTGAACAGAATTGTTTTACTTTGAATTCTCTATTAGAGCTAAGCCTAGTTTGTTATTAGCTTTAAGGATCTTCAGAAATCATCTTGTTTTAGCGCTGTATAATCTCGAGAAATACGGATGAATTTTTCGGATGCATAGTGTGCGTGAAGTAACTGAGCAAGAAATGGAAAAGCATACAACGAATGCCACCGCTACCCTTAAGATATAAAGTGACATATTTTGGAAAAATATTGAAGCTTTCCGTTGCAGTTGTCAGAAAACTTCAGAGACTCGAGTCCGTTCCACACTACCGACCTTGTTGTAAATCTAGTAAAAAACGCCAGTAAGTAAATGGCAGAAAGGCCAGAGATATCACTCCCCTTTACCCTAACACGATTTTGATCGCCATCAAATGGTTTGAGTACTTAACCCACAGAAGTAATCTAACGATATATGCAAAGCATGTGTGCAGTTCTCAAAAACTGTTTTCCGGCAGAAGGATGTATTATAGATATATATATTGTAATTACAAACCGTTATGAACGGCATCTGTATTTTATACTTCTCGTCCTGCTCGAATGTACTGCATCTGAATGCATCCATCCAGCGAAGTAAATGATTTACAACTACTAGGTATGTCTTTCCGCGCTGAAATAGTGCCTCGTTGTAATCAGATAAAGCACAGGGGAAGTAAAGAGGGATATTTTTTACCTTTGTTGATTATTTTTTCTTAACTGAACATTGAAAATCATTCAAACGTTGAGACCGTAAGTCTCCTTTTGAAGAAATAAACGTCTTTTTTTATTTCAGGGAGGAGTGTGCGATTTGTATAGACTGAGCTACACGCTGCAAAAGCAAAACAACGCAACGAGGAACGGAACTGTTTTGAATCATGCATCAACGAACAAAATTGGTAGTCAACTTTGCTCGTAATTGTCGCCAATTTGTTCAATTTTTTACATACAGCTTTTTACATCCAGTACATTTTCCAATAATAATTGTGTACATTGCTCTTCATCTTATATTTTCGTTTGTATTATAATATTCACCACAGGCGATGGAGGCGTACGGCAACGTCATGTTGTACAAATGGCACATCAGACAAAAAACCTAGGAAATCTGGGTGGCCAAGGCGACCACAACCCGGCTAAGGATCCAAGTGGTTGTGTGGGCATCGGTAATGGAGCCACTAAACTGGGCTTCGAGATTCGTGCAGAAAGTTCGTTTCAAAGTGATTTCAATGACAAAGAAGATCCGTTCCAAAGGGTAGTTCGCTTCGCTCCGAAAAAGGGGATCCTTCTTACTGGAGGAAGCGACGGGTACTTGCGAGCGTGGAAGGTTCGTGTTGATTTTGAAAAATTTAGGTAGCAGTTAGATTATCTACATAATCACATTACTGGAATATTTTATTTCTTTAGTCTATCGCGGCACTTTTAATGCTGTTAACATTTTGTTTGCTGGCGCATTAGAATGTTTATCCTTGATACTTACGATCACTTATAATCAACCCGTAAGATTTTTAAAACCTGCATTTAAAATACATAAGGTGCCTACATGGAGATGCCCATCTTAGTCGAATTGTCTCTCAGATTTCTTATATCGGCACAGCATAAGCGTTGCAACTGCATAAAAAACAGACAAGTGAGCCTGGTGCTTATCACATTTTTTTTGTGGGCGGAATTTAAAACCGTTGGTTCCTGAACGAACCATTTTTAATAGCCAGAAGTCTGTTGATTTTTCCTATTTGCTTAATATACATATTTATTATCGTATGAGAACAGTATTTATCAAGAGGTCAAAGTCGTAAAATCTCCAACGAATTTTCCTATAATCATATTAGTATGCTCAGCGTGCCAGACACGCAACGCTATTTTGACCAGCGGTCGGAAAAAATTTATTTGTATAAATAATGTCATTAGAGTTCTAATACAAGCAATTTAATTCATCAACCAGAAATGATCAGTAATGATACTTCAGCAATGGATAATTTTCGTTTCAATTTACTTTAAGATTTCAAACGCACTTATCATTTGTTCTTGTTGTAAACCTAGAGTCCGGCATTCACAAAACAGTTTGAGGTGAAGGCCCATGATGGCGACATTGATGACATCACAATCTCTATTGGAGAGGAAAGCGTTGTCAGCATCGGTAAGGACGGAAGGGCTATAGTTTGGAGTTTTCAAGGAGAAAAAGTAATGGATCTCACAGCAAAATTGCCGGTGGAAGACAAATATGGATTTCGAAATGCCAGGTGCGAAACTCAAACTTCAAAACATTATCGAAAATTATATATAATTTGTTATTTTTATAATACATTTACCTGTTCGGTAAATTGTACTGGTAAAAATATATATGCTTACCTAGGGGTTTAACTTGGTTTGGTAATGAATACGTTTGTGAAGTACGGAAAAACTATAAAATGCGTTCTTGCTCGGCCGGTATAGTTTATCATATTTATGTGTAACGAATTAAACTTAGTTCACCGATTATAGGTTTGGTGGCATTGCCGAAGGCAACTCTGGTGAATGTCGGCTATTTGCGACGATAAATCCTATGATGCGTCGACGACCTTTGAAAGCATCATATATAGTCAAGTGGAATCCTCATAAAGCGTTTTCAACTGAACTTCTTAAGGTTGCTGGTGCAGATCTCTTTTCAGCCATGGCTATCAGGTAAGAGAGTAATACCAAAATGTCATCTGTGTTGTATAATGTAAAGCATGAGGGGATATAGTCATTAAAGTTAAAATAAATATAAAGGTAATTGTGATTTTTTTTTTAATTTTGGACGCGATACTAAGTTCGTGTTTTTATATCAGCTTTTTCCCTTATCAATACTGATTTTAAACGCTTTCATCGTTGTCATGCATTTACCAATGTTTCCATTTTTAGTGACGATGGAATCTTCTTGGCGACGGGACGTCAGTCTGGGTGCGTCGAAATCTTTATAGCATTTTCACTTGAACGTCTTTACGTTTGCGAGAAAGCGCACAACGTCTTTGTAACTGGAATGGCCTTTCTCAAAAGTGCGGGAGAGACCTGCCGGTATGTGTATATTAGGATGATTTTCAGTTAAAATAATTATTTCGCTTTTCGACCATTTTTAATATAAACAGATTTCCATGTTTGTTTTAGGCAAGCTGCAGATTCAAATTTTAGATAAGAGCCCCAATATGTAGTGAGCTTACTCTTTGTGCATATTTTGGTAAAGAGTGCTTTATTGATTCATATATGTAATATCGACAGAATATTGCGCAAATGCGATTCTAAAATATTCTTAATTTTTAGGCTGACGCAAAGTGACGCTACTCTGGTCTCAATATCTGTTGATAACCTGCTCAAGGCCCATTGCATCCCTCCTCAATGTAAGACTGCAATTATTATCATAGAATAAAGTACAATTCGTGTATATTAAGCTTTTACCAATGAATCCAGCGGACTATTAACAAATTAATTATTAACTTTTAAAAAATAATTTAGTTTCAAAGCTATAATAATAATTTTTAACTTCGTTAAAAATGCTCTCTTTTATTTTTATATACTTATTTCAGCGCTCTAGTTGCTTTAAAACGATCATATACCTGCTATTCGGATTCCGATATGTAATCTTTCTATCTATGTCTTCTCGAAGTAAATCGACAGTGGAATATGCTCGCCGACTGGTTTTCTAGGGGCATGGAAAGCCTTATAGTTACACGGACCTAGATCAAGGAAATAAATGGGCTGAAACCGGCGCTGGATATTCCTTTGCTCAATCCAAGTGGTAATAGAGGCATGATTGTGGCGCTTGGCATTATTATCAAATAACCAGACTGCGTGCTTTCAAGGGCCGTGCCAACGGTTCCTGAGTATCTTGAGAAACTCAATTCATTGTCCATTCATTGTTTCGTTTTCCGTGTGGCAGATGCCGCTGAAGTCAATTGCAGGTATTGTCGCCGCCTTACGGCCGAACTAGTTCGACTTCTCTCCTAAGTGACGCTATGTTATCGTCTAGCCCTTTTCCGGCCGGCAGTAGAGATTAAACGATACCTCTCCTATGGCGACCATATGCTCCAGGCGAAACTTCTGTTGATTGAAGCTTCACAAATTGCACATGGAATACATAACACGAATTTTTAGTTGGTCCCGAGATAATTCATAGAGAATCCATTTTTAATTTAGGTTCCACATGTGCAGTGCTTGGGTTATAATTTGACTGAATTGAGTAATAATAATGGTTGAAATGCCGGCGTTGGCCCTTAGACTACAAGCTCTGTTTTTGTGAAAAGCCTTTTTAAGTGCAGTAGTGCATTTTTATGTTTCGAGTTTCGGCATATAATAATTTCCTCATGGTGTTAACTCCGTTCTTGAAACACTTGGACCACTCACGTACTGTGTTTGGACTCAAGGTATCCTTTCCTGATGTCTTTATTAATCCTCCTATAATCTAAACCGGCTTCTATTCACAAGGTTTTAGAAAACTGTAGCCAGACATTGTCTCCTAACGGCGTTCAGCTAAAAAGCGCTTCAGTTTTATAGTTTACATATAACTATATATATTTGAGTAACGTACAGACCTGTCGAAGCTTTCACTTGTATCTTCAGATACTTAAGCATGCTTAAAAGCTATTTTTTACTTCATACATAGTGGCGCGTCTTCATTAAAAATGTCTATTACGCCTTGTAGCTAAGACTATGTCTAAACATAAACAAATATTTAAATGGAAATTCTTGAACGTACTAGAATCCTTATTTTTATCGCTCATGTTTATTCGATATAACTCTCATCCCATGCGATTGCAACTATAATTCGGAATCTAAAACATATACTAGGTACTTTTAAAATATTCCTTCTTTAATTCACAAATAACTTTTTTAGTCAAACGATATTGTCAAGTATAACCTCATTCGAATGTGGTTCAAATACGCTATATACAAGAAAATTCAACGAAAAAAATTCAGACAAGTAGCAGATCAAGACTCATGAAAATGAAAAGATTCAAAACGGCCAAAATCTCAACGGATGCGAAAAGGCGCACAGAATCTCAAAAACATTAATTTTATGAGCTTTTCTAGACGACCCCATCTTTGATTGATGTTCTGGGCTTTACAACAGCCGTTAGTTCCTTTATCAAAAACCTGTATATTTTTCATACCTTTATATTTGAATTCTGTTGAGGCTCTTCTGGTCTGCCTTTGGAAAGTCTTCTTCAGATTCATTAGAAGCCGTTTAAGAACTGGCAATAATAAATAATGTGGGCCGTCGATTGAGGACAAAAGTGAAATTTTTAATCTTTGTGGCGTTTCGTCAAGAGCGGAAGGAATATATAATACCAGCTTGCTATAGTGCTCGAGAAGGAGCTGGCTTTCGTCTGGTACCAGGAGTAGCGGTTGAACCCATCTCCAGTATGACAAGCAGTCTGCCAAAATTTTCCTCGGTGTGAACGCACCACCCTGTAGGCCAGAAGTAAAATAATCTAATATTAAAAGTTGTTTAATGTGATGCTTCGATGCTAATTTTAGGCATACCGAGGGCCATTCGGTGCTGTTATCTGGTGCCTCATGTAGGTAATGGTGAAATCCATGGACACAATACTGCAATGCGTTCACCAACTTCGTTCTGCCTAACACGTTTAAAAATCTCGTTTTTCCTTTGTTACTTTATATTCACATTGAACCTTTCTTTAAATATTTCGCGAAAAGGGATAATCATTACTCAAATGCTTTAGTGCACATCGTTTATGCACATCGTTTTCAAATCTCATTGTTTTGACCGTCAGGCACCTTTCAAATCATAAGGTACATTTCTATGCTATTCAAATTCGTTTGTAGGAGTTTGTGAAGTACTAGATATAACCTTGCGTAACCAGAAAGCCCTGGTTAAATACGCTAGGAAATAGGAAGATGCAATACCGAACGTATAATATTAGAAGCAGCCCTCCAGAGATGACTTGAATCGTACGATATTGCAAGGGACGTCGCTTTCAATCTAAATTAGTAGGGTAAGGTGGGCCTACGTGGAACCTGCGTTATATGAGTCACTTTGTTCTTTTTAGGATCAAGTTTTTTTTACTTAAGACTATAAGATTTACTTATTCTCCAGATGCACATGGGTCAGGAAATCGATGCAATTTGGGTTATTATGAGATCGTTTAATATTAAATTCGACAAACAATATCAAGTTTCAATATGACACTATTTTATATAAAGCTATTATAGGTGTATTCGAGATACCCTCTTTGATATCTTAGACCATTTTCTAGGTATTGTTATCTACTCGGTGAATTCCCTTTACCATGAGAGATAAGAAATTCAAATGGTTTAACGAACTATAGCGGCAAAAACAGTTCGTCGTATAAAGCTTGCATTCCATAAAGAATTTACTACTTGAAATAGTGTTAGTGATTTGTTTCCGGAAAGACATTTTGAACTCAAATGTGAGTCGTGTGGAAAACTTTCCGCAAAGGTGAAACATGTGTTGACAATTGTAATAGCAGCTAGCCTACCTCAAAGTAGCGGGCTTAAACACTCGGAGTTGGTGTACGCAGAAATACCATAATTGTTCACCTCGGTCAAGTGAAAAGGAAAAAACTGGACTATCGGATACCGTATGATTTGCGCGAAATGTCAAAAACGAGTATGAAGCGCTTAAAGAAAATGATGAAAAACTCTGCTTTAAATAGCCAAGATTAGTAAACAGACCACCAAAAATTCCTCTTATTGATCCCACACCGTAAAAAGGGTGACAACAATGCAAGAACAAAAATTAAAAACTCTCTGACATCCAGCATACTTGCCAGACATCATTCCCGCAAATTATCATTGAGCTTAAAAAGTATCTTTAACTCTGTGCTGAAAATTCTTATTCATATCTTAATATAATGTCAAAAATGCTTTTATCTACCGTTCTGTAGCAGAAAGATGACAAAAGCTTATGCATAATAATAGCGCATAAATCGATTGGAAATAAATTAAGCTAAGTTCGGGAAAAAATTTTAAAATTTAGCGCTTTCGTGTCATGTTTCGTGCTAAACGACCTAAACAGGTCCTTAAAACAAAAGCCAGTCTTCCAACAGTTGTTGAGCTGTAAAAAACCATAATAATCAACTAATTTTTCTTCTGTGGTTACACCTGCTGCAAATTTTAAGAAAAATTATAAAAAGTGCATTTATGATGTCATTGCTTTGCATTACGTTACATGACCACTCTAGAAGTTATGTGGGTCTGGGTGAAGTACGGTGATACGGGTTGACATCAATTGCTGATTTAACTAACTGGAACAATTAAGCTACTTCAAAGTATAATTTAACCTGGTAACCATATATTTTTGGATTGATACATTTAGCTAAAGCATCGTATTTTCGGAAGGAAGTTATGCCACAAATCGTTTTTGTCAAACATTTCACATATCGTTGCGAAACGCTGTGAGTTAAGTGCATAGGTGTTCCTAATTTGTATTTTCTCAAAAATTCATTCTATTTACGAATTGAATAAGGAGTTTTGAACAAATACACTGATACCTAAGTTAATGATCGTTCGTTTCTTTCAGCCTCGATGGGAGTTCTCGGGATGATTTGCTTCTTTATCTGTTTTATGGTGCTCGTGTACATTGTCCTTGATCTATTCGGATTATAGTAAATATGCCACAGCTTTTGTTGTGTGATCGGTATTGCGTCAATATATATTATGGCCACGCACCCTTTGTTGACCCTAAGTTTCTTAATCAGTTTTTTGGTGGCTTATCGGGTTGAAGACGTGAGACGCAAATTTAACACGTTTGATACATTTCTATAAGTATGTTTATAAAATGCTAAAGTTGAAATACCTTCTTATAAATAAAATAAACCGTATATACTTCAATTACCAAGCGCGTTTTCTATACATATATAGTAAAATATTTAAAAAGGTAAAAATGGATCGACCTATTATTATCTGGCCTTGAAGTGCCAAATATTTGCATTTATTGTGAGATATCTTCTGAGATATTTCTGAGATATCGGGTATTTATGTTTGTTAAATTTGAAGTTCTCATTTCTTTTCATTTACACTATAGCAGATCCTTTAAATTATATTATAGTTTACTTAGGTCGATGTAATATGTTGTCTGTGTATATCTTAATTTCAAGCAGAAATAATTAATTCCGTATTTGTTCCGAGTTGAAGTAAAGGCATTTACTTCCCCAACTCCTCAGTCCATGCATAGTTCGTTGCTTACTGTTTGTGCATGTTAATTAGAGGACACGTACACACACATTTCTTCCTGACAACAAAGAGAAAAGCCCAAGCGGATTAGCATACTAAATAATATTTGTATATTTAAATCGATGTAGGTTTGCCTAAAATGAAAAAAATAATATGAAACAGATATGCTACACACGAGTCGCTTCTTGAAATTACGAACAGATGTACTTCTTAGTATATATTTAATTCTCTATCACTTGTTGGAGATCTCTATCACTGTTCAGAAACACGGACACTCCATAATGGTTTCTATTTGTTTATCAACATAATGCTATCCTTACTCTAAAATATGGTATTAAAATATATTTCAAAACAGCTGATAAATCTAGGAGTTTTGTCACGAACGAGTCCCTAAAGTTTTAATTAATCAACTTTTATCTTTTATGGGCTATTGTTTACTGTCAAAAATTTCTTTAGCTCTGGGGTAACAATTTCCATCGAGATTGAAAAGAGCTTTCTGTCGAATCGATTTATTTGTCACATGTTATCAAAACGTATAACTTAAAAGTACATCCTTTTTTAAAATTAGCTTTATTGAGGATATATTTTGATAATAGCATGATCATGCGATTTTAGGAAACGATTACTCGGTAAGCGAACAAATTACGGATCTATTTTAAAATACGTTTTTATTGCTATAAGATAATTTTATAAATCTTCTATTCGCTTCTTTAATCAACTCTTCTGTTCAAAAACGTGTATATGTAGCCAAGGCTCTATGACTTAATATGTCTATGGGACTACTTATGTTCTTTGCACTAAAGATAAACGCTTGCCTACAATCGTTTAGCAGGAACGATAGTCACTTTTATATAAGACGCAAAGCTTTAGGTGATACAAATGAATTAAAGCTTGGAGTGATATACGAATTACAAAGTTGCATAAGCTACTTTCCTTGATAATGTTATTTAAACCAAATTTATTGTAAACTATATTGTTATTACTGAAAAAGAGTATTGAAAAAGAGATGACATTTCTAAGGCACCACTTAATCATTCGGTCGAAGTCTTTTTGTAAGGAACCTATTCCCAGAATTTCGCTTGACAATGCATACATATTAAAATTATGTACTTTCCCTACAAGCTGGGTACTATTAATGCAAGGAGTTTGAGAAAGACGCGTGTGCCATAGCAGTACAATTGTTTGGAGCAATGATTTGATGCGACCCCAAACCGCATGATTTACCTGTGCCGCTGTTCGCGGCCGGTAATGCTGAAATCGCGAAAACGCGTGCTTCGTTGGATGCGCCTTTCGCTGCTCTTTCGCTTCCCTTACATAGAAACAAAGAAACAAGTTAAATATACAAGGGAGGGACTGCAAGGACAATCGCTGCCACTTTGCTCAAAGGGTCAATCGTTTTTTAGGGGACAGAATCCAGAAAAAAATAAAAGAAAGGGAAGTGCGATGCGTCTTCGGTAGCAACCGAGAACATGTCGAAACATTAAAAGGCACGAAGTTCACAATATTTTTTTTTATTTACCCTTGTCATGTCCTAGTAAGCACAAGTCTTCTTCGGGTAGCCTTCGCTCAACCCTTTTGACTTGCAGTACCAAGAGAAAACTTATCGTAGCAACACATCACCGATACACGGCACAACCCCAACTAGAACCGTGGTCCTCCCTTTGAAACTTTCTATGTTACAGGCTTTATTCGAACAAGTTCTGACTACATTCCGAGAGTAGGAAGCGCTACATCGCAATGGTTCGCAATAAAAAAAGGGGCTGAAGCTGATCACAGAGTAGGCATCGATAAAGAAGTGTAGGGACAACATCATCGTCCTTGTCGGTACCAATATCATCATAACAGCTGTCTACGTTTGACTGGCAGGAACATAGTCAACTCTTACTATGGTTGACTCTTTATTTAATAGACTGCGAGCTGTTCTGTTTGTGGTTCCTCTGATCGTGTGTGGCGATTTGAACTTACGAGTGGACCTGCCTCCATCTGGTCGTATGACAATCTCTGCAAAACGCTGGCGAATTCGGCTGTAGGGTTGCTCGCCTCGGTGTTTCTCCGCCTGTCATAAGCTAGAACAGAGATTCGGTCATGGATATTTTTGCCGCAAATATTAAGCTCAGTGAAGTTGCTTGGTAACTCGCTTAAGGAAGTGATATCAAGACCCACATACCAATCACCGTTAAAGTCGTTTCTTGCTTTTCTTGATATTAGACGAGAACCGCTTTCCCGGCATCTCAGTTCGGTGACTATCCTCGCTTATACGCATGAAAGGATTTTGGTGCCCATTCTCATTGACGTCAAGATCTGCGCGCAACAGTTCATGGATATGTTTAACTTTTCCGGCCATTTACCAAACTCTAGTCGTTATAATCAGCCGTAGTTCAATAAGCATTGTTGTCTGATTAAAAGTATTCATGTATGGTGTAGAGCCTTGGCTAATGCGTACCCGATGAAGCCCCTTTCGGTTCACCTTAGGACCACTTTTCGAAAAAAACACACTCTGAAAATTGAGCTATTCTGAGCTGCACGAAATTTGTCTTCTAGAAGAAAACTTTAGGGCCTTTTCTACAAGTGAGTCTCTCGCCGAAAACCGTCAGCTTCCAGGATTGACTCGTTGGCTCTCATAGAGTACTTCGCGTTTGAGATCAGTAATATTAAGCTGGCGAAAATGTATTGACAGTTTTAAAGCCAATATAGAAACTTTTTTTTATCTTTTAAAGTAACGGTATTACACTAAATACATGACATTTTGGTTATGATTTGATGTCACATTTCTGGTAACACCATCGTTCTATTGTTGTAAAACTTCTGTGGCTCCTGGGCGAAAAATTGTGACAAGTAAATTTTGCCTATATTAAAACAAAATTAGCATCATTAAAGTGCTCCGGCGAGATCGGAACAGATGACAGTGTGATGGCGTAGGCTTTAGGCTATATGGCAGAAGCATTAAAACTTTCTACTCAAATTGTATTAGTTTTGCCGGGCAAGATGATATGGTTTGACATTGTCATAATGGAAACCTTCTCTGTTCATTAATTTCGGTTGATTTTTTTTAATGGCTTGCTGTTAGCTGCTGACAGTAGAGGTCTGAATCAATCGCTTTGCCAGGTGACGACAAGTCAAATTGCACGATTCCCTTGTAATCCCACCAAACACATAACCTCTCCTTTGACGTAAATCCGGGTTTAGCCACAAATTGCTCTTGAGCACATTCTTTTGCTATTGCCTTATTATTATTATTATTGCATGTGATCTATGTTTACCACCCGTGATCAACCACTTTAAAAGCGGTCCGATTTTGTTGTGTTTCTGTGAAGTTTTACAAATGGAAATACGACAAGGTAATTTCTTTATGTCAATTTGAACGGCGCCTAAGCATCGAGCTTTTGCAAATGGCTCAAAACTGTTTAGTGATGAATGTTCAGTTTGTTGTTGATGTTATGGCCGCTAACATGTTGGCCCTGCTTAAATTTCGCGATAATTTCGTCAACATTTTTTGCAATTTGTCGATCACTAAGAGGAGCATTTTTCACATCGAAATTTCCAGAGCGAAAACAACAGAAATATTCTAAGGCGATCTTTTTGATAATGCATCTTGCCGATAAAAAACACACTTTGTATGATACTTGAGAGCATTCTGTGTTTCTATCGTAATAAAACTGTAAAATATAAAACATTTTAAAAAAGAAAGTTTACTCATTTTCAAAACGCTTTATCTTAAGTTTAAATAACGGCATTCTAACAATTTAGCGCATCTACTACTGTTTGATCTCAATTTTCAAATGACATCAACGTCGATGCGACTCATATTACCTAAGATATATTATTATAAGGCTATCCAACCAAAAAAACGGTCAATAATTTCTTGACAACGCAATACCATTGCGAAGGAGGCTTAGCAAGCTTCAAGAGGTTACAGCGATACTTCAGAGGAAACAACATGGCTTGAAACAGAACCGCCTCACCACTAGAACTCGTTCAAGTACGCCGGATGACGTCGAGTTTCCACAGTTTTCGAGTTTCGATTTAGCTTTCCGGAACATTATGCTAAAGCTGCTGACAGAAGTAGGTCTACCACTGAATATTACAAACCTTTTAGAAACCATTCTACAGGGTAATAGAGCCAAGGTCAACGATGATGTCACGGAGCTGCCTAATTCCTTTTAAAAGAATATTCGAACAGTCTAAGCAGATAACCTCAGGCCGTTATTGTTTGCAATCTGATTGCCATGATTTGGAGCAGGTGCAATTTGGTTAATGTCGTTCTGTACGTAGACAGTCTGGTCATCTAGGTACAGCAGGGTTTGGCCAAAGCGCACGCAGCCTCCGCTGAACCTAACTTGTCTGTTTATGAATTGAGATCGATAGTAATAAATCTTAGATAAGGGTCACATATCTCATCCGAGGACATCCTACGGTAACCTGATTCCCCACTTTTCCGTGTAAACAAATTTTGCTATTTCGGTTTGCTCCTATTCATTAAAATGTACCTACCTCATCGCTATCATTACGAAAGGGTGTTTTCCGCCGTGGTGATTATAATAAGCTCTCATCGTCTATCCATCTCAACTCTCCCTCACCTTTCCAGTTCACAAGTTGCACCAATGGCCATCTACGGAGAGAAGATCAACTGAGAACACCTAAATCAGTCAGGCGTTGAGCTTCTGAATCACTTAAAAACATCCTATCTTATACGTATTATCGTTTTCCACCCTACAGCCTGGAACGGGCTCGTGATCTTTTTGCCGACACCCGCCTATTCACGGAAGACTTGAGGAAACGTTTTCACCTTCCGACAACGCCCCCTTTGCTATACGTGAGATTTTTTGAAAGAAACTGTGATGTTAGAGGAAATCTATCGAAGAAAACATTTATTCAAAAAGCCTACGATCTTCGATAATAAGATCGAATCCCAACATACTGAAATTCTGCCGACCTCAATTTTAATTACATTTTGATAAAAGATTCTAAAAAAGATAAGACGAACTTGGTAGAAGTTACAACCATCATTTATAAAAGTATGCTGGTCGTGGGCCACTACGACTTTTTGAGACAATGCTGTTGTATTTTTCATAAGATAACGCTCTGTAATTGTACTCACTTCCCCTGTATCGGTTTCTTTAGCCAATATCTATTTAATCGCTACTCATATAAAATTTTAGAACTAAGTTAACTGTATATTTTTTGGTGCAATATGGATATTATTCGATTTTTAAAACAATGGTGCATATTACAGAATATGCGTTTTCTTTTCAAGCTGAGGTGCTCGTCATTGGTATTGCTAAGGTAATATGTTGCCGTGAATTTATATACAGGTTGTTCACAATAAAAAGGCATCCATTATGACTGATTGTTTATTAAACATACGTCTGTTCGTTCTTTTTCATGCTAAAATAAAGCTTATTTTAAAATGTTAGCTAAGAGCAGCTATTATCTACAGTCTTCACATCGGACGAATTTTCGCTGAAGTCGATGGTCTACATTCTTGCCAAACTATACGCGGTTTCCAACCAATCTGATGGAAGTATTTATAAGGAAAAGCAGATGACATACAATGAAGATTGCATCAAGGAATTCAAAATTAATCAAAGTCACGCAAAAGCCAATTCTTACAACTGAAATTATCATGCAGAAATTAACGGCTGTTTGCGACGGGAGAGTATATATCCCGACTTGAGTTGTCCAGATAAATTCCAACTGTCAATTTTTTCAAGAATTTCTGCGGTATTTTGCGTTCCTTGAGCGTTGGGACTTTTAGTTTATTCTCAGCTTAAAATTCAGCTCCATTAACTTCTTGTGTCTCTCTGTCTCTTTGTGTTAGACTTCAAAAAATTGACGCGGACCAATATTACTTTACCTAAGGCTTGTATTGAAATTTTTTTAAATTTTAGAATGGTAAAGAACTCTAAGTTTATCGATAGACTTCGCGCATTTCGCCCTCCCTTAACTAGGAGCGTTTCTTGAGGCCCGCTCCAGAATATTCGGGCTGGCGAGTCATCATCACCTACTTGTCAATATTTAAGTGTTGGATAATGTGTTTTCGATTTCGTAGGTCGCAGAACTATAAAAAATCTTCACAGTGGCGAAAATTTACGCAGTGTCACTATGAGCGTTACTAACAAGACGAAAAATTCTCGAATATCATGAGATCTGCGTTGACTGGAAATAGTGTGACAGGCTTGAGGAGAGGAAGAACCGCACTGCCCATTTAATAACTTTTCTCAGTAAAAGTACAGTTGAATGAAATGGAACAATCAAGCATTTAAAATTGAAAACGATGGTTTATTAGTTTATAATGTACAAGTTATTATCCGTGGGAAGAACAGTAGTACTGACTATTTAACGGTATTGATTTCAGTAAAAGCAATAAGTATACTTTATGGCTTCTGCATGCGGTTAATGGTTAGCTTATCGAAGTAGCTAAGAGCAAAGCAACTAAAAGTTAACATACGTTTTTTTCTTAAACTCACATGTACGATGGGTGGTCTAGACTTATGTACTGTCTCATTTTGTTATGAAGAAGCGAACATAAAAACTGGGCTGATGCGGAATATTGAATGGAATGAGATATATATATTACAAATTACATACGGAAGCATCGCCTGTCATATACATCAATTCATTTAGAAATTTATCAAGTGATCATTCAAGGTATTACAAAATCGTAATAGAACTATTCAATACTATTATGAGTCCACGTGTACCTAACTTATTTACTTCTAGGTCATACAATTAGAAGAATGTTCCTACAATAATGTCTTCAAATCAGGCGCGCGAATTCGACATTGTAATTTTTGGTGTCACCGGATTGGCAGGTAAATTCGATGTCTTTCTTTCTTTGCAGTGCCCTCAATGTTCATGCTGTGCATATTCGCAGGCACTCCACTATAACACTTGCATTTTGTTTCGTGCACATGTTCCGGGTATCTGAAATTACATGTCCGTCTTGTAAATTACCGCAAATAGTATTTTTAAAAATTTCTAAAAAATCCTAATTGCACCTGCGCTTACTGCATCTACACCTGAGATCCTACCTATATTTATAAAATAATAAAAAAATAGATCTACAAAGATGTACTGATTTTAAATCAGTTGAATTTATGTTAAAATATATACAATAATGCAATATGCCTACGCAGTTGTCAAACTGTACACGTATCAAGAACGTTAGCTTCAAAATACAATCGCTTGCCGATAAGTGAAACAGGTTGAATTGATTGTAGATGGAACTCGTAAAAATAGTCTATAAAAGGTTTTAGAAAATGATTTCTTTTACATATTCATTATGGCGTTAGACAAAACTGTAAAAAAAAAAAGATTTGACGATAAATTTTGGAGTATTAGTAATTAATATCAAATTTGATATGCAGTTTACAGAACTTATCGGCAGAAGAAATAAATGGAAAATTAAAGTAGGTTAAAATTCTTTAGCCTTCAGAGACGCTTACGAATAATAAGGTGATAAGTGTCAGTTGACTAACTTACATTTTTCCACAATTCAGGACGATATTGTGCCGAACAGCTGCACAAGAGTTCGGTTGTGGATAAAGTACGGTGGGCCGCTGCTGGAAGAAACAAAAACAGGATTTCCGAGGCTCTTCATGAGGTAACTGTACATTGTCTAGCCGCCTAAATAGTCGTACTCTAAATCGTAGTAAGGTGGTGTCATACTTAGTAGTGCATAACAGTTATTAAAAACGATGTAGTAATCCTTATCGCTAAAATATAAGCATTATTTATACAAGATGTTTCTCTAAACGAATAAGAAAAACATACTAAATGATTCATTAAGTGAATTTTATAATTTATTTGATCACATTTAATAAATTATTTTAAAACGGTGTTATGTAAAAATAATAGGCTAAGTGATAAGACATGAGACTAAAGGCAACTTCTGCTGTAGTATTGTATGCATTTGATCGAAAAACATGAATGAAAAAAAATAATAATAATAATGCGGAGCTGCATAATAATAGTTCTAATGTCACCTTTTTGGATTTTTTGCTTACACAAAAATATCTGAGATAAAGGATGGCATTTAAAGTCATATATAAAAGTGAAAGCATCGGTTCACTACAGTACAATATTTTACGAAGTACTTTTTCTAATAAGACCGCAGTTCGCAACTTGTGAATATTAAAAACGACCTATACACATACTTTGCTGTCTTACGTTATACTTTACTTATATTATACTTGTTCATGGTTACAGGTATCTTCGTGGCTAAGTCCCGATTTAGCCGCAGGGCTTTTAGAAGTTCCTGTGATAAACGCAGTCGTGTACGACTCTGCTAGCTTGCTCGCAATGGCTAGTAGAACTCGTTGCGTTATCAATACTGTCGGACCTTACACGTACGAGATTGCTGTTATTAAATTCCCAGTTAATTGTTAGGATAACATAATTAGTCATTATTATCTATCTATAGTCAACTATTATAGTTAATTTACGTAAACAGTAGTTTGTGCTGACTTCATTTAAAACTAAACTACAATGAAAATCAAACTAAAACCAGTCATTTCTTATTTACTAGGCGTTGGGGTGAACCCGTTATTCAGGCCTGCCTCGAAGCCGGCACCCATCTTCTAGATTTGAGCGGCGAGACCTATTATAACGAAGCTATGAGAAATAAGCACCATCGCTTAGCTCTTGAAAAAGGTATAATACACATTTTTGATGTAATATAAAATGTAAAGCAAGAAGGCGAAAACTTCCCATTAAAAAATATTGGAGTATAATTATTACGTATTGTTTTCAATAATAAAAGAACGCATAGCTTGCTGGAAATTCTTTGGCAACGAACAGCGCTTTACTTATTGATCTGCCTACCTACGATTTACCTAGGGATAATAATATTATTAATACTATCTGGTAGTATCTTTATATTCGATTTTGCTATTTTCTAATATCCTTCCTGAATAGTGACAGCCCTATAGCTGCAAGGTGGTAGTCTGCTCACGATAGTAAAAGGCCTAGAATAGCACGTATACAACTTCTTTGGGCACTCTTACCAAAACCCCGCTGTCCTTCTCAAACTTTCGCGGGATGGATTTCCCCGGCTCAAACAATGCCTTTATTTTCTGCTACCGTTTTCCGATCGCAAAGTACGTGCCGACTCAATGCCGGGGTATCTCGTCATCATGTACGGGAGTCCTTCAGGGTGCTGTCCTGTAGCACGAGTGCAGTTTAAATGAGTTCTTACCTATTGTCTCATTTGCAGGCATATTGAGGGAAAACGCCTTTCGGGGTAGTATCAGCAACGGTCTGCGGCTTCCAAGGAGGCTAGCTCATAAAAACTATAGGCTTGACTAGACCCTTGTGCTGTTGTTCGAACCCGATTGTTGTTCGAGCGCGCACTATATAATGTTGCCTAACGTAATATATCGTGCCTTTGCGTTCTTAGATTTTTCTGTATCTCTAAAACTTCATATCTTATTACCGGCATGATGAGCTATAACAAGTCATTTGTGTTGGCATTAACATTGCTCTTCATGTAAACTTTAACCTTCAGAAATTTCAGTGCGATGCTCTCAGTCACTACCTGGTAGTAACGTTGATACAAATGGTACAAAACGGTACCATATGAAAACTAATTGTACTGGTAGATGTGCCTAGACCTGGGCGACAACTGTTCTAACTCGTTCTGCGTAGGCCTCATTGATCTAAAAACACACATGAGAGATTAATTAGTCGCCTTGTATTATAAGCTTTGTACTGGCCTGGCATGATCACATGTACTGCAAATATAAGAAATGAGTAAGTGTGTAGGCAACTTTCGGATTTGTAGGAATACAATGCTGTGCTCTCTATAGTTTGGACTGTTTACTCCCCTTAGAATAGTATTTAGACCTTCACAACTACATCATATTCCAAAACTGTTTTATAGGTGTAGTAATTTTACCAGCTGCCGGATTTGATTCGATACCATGCGAAATGATGCTACAGTTTGCAAAACAAAAATTTTCGGGAAAAATCAATTGCCTCGAGACATTTGGTATAATGAAGGACGGTTCTCTAGGATCTGCAATTAACACCGGTACGTTTTGTTTAGATAGTTTGAAAGCTGCTTGATAATATGGTTTAACATACACATTAAAACAACAACAACACAACATTAAAGTTTTGTTACAATCACCATTACAAATTAGGACATAATCAATAAAATATTAAACTAAATATTGACTCAAGTGAGAAATCTTATATCGGAATATACCAAATACAAACAAGAACATCGGTATAAAGTCAAACAAATTCGATAGGGTCGACGGTCTTATGACAAATGGCAAGTGTCAGTGGCGTACAATGGACAGAACGACTCTTACGAAACGGCGTGGCAACCATGCAAGCAGCTACTAATCTTAATAATTTTTTAATAATAAATTACGTAATTTTCATTTCTTACTTTTCTGAATATTAATATCTGATAATAAATGTTACCGACGTTAAGACGTAAATCAGCGTAGTAGCGTATCTGTTAGTTATGGCTACCAGGGCAACGCATTCAAAGAGATGAGTATTAGTCACCCAGACCACGCCTCTTTTTAGAAAAAAGAGGTAGAAGTGTCTTGGGATGGTGCATAAACAACTGACTTCATTTCGTTTTTCCTTAGAGTTTTAAAAATAATGTTATACCATTCTTACGATTTAAATCGAAGCACTTGATTCTATTAGAAGCCTTACATCTGTAGAGTAAATTATCTCTTCGGTAAATCTTCAATAGATCTAAAATGTTCGGTACTTTACTACTAAACAAGTTTTGGTTTTAATTGCAATACATATATATCTCAAAAAAGCTTATTATCGAGCGATAGAGTAAACAAGTGGAAAAGTTTGCATATACTACAAATATCCTACATAAATATCGACAATAAGATAGATCCTATACGATTGTCTTACGGATGGCGGGTATCTCACGCACATCTGTTGATGTGGACGCACGTGAAATAGTATATATTAAAAGCTTCGGTTACCCCTTGTCGGTTAGAATAGAAATTCGATTGACGGTATAAGATGGCCGCATCAACTAACTTAGTCCACAAATTTACCACAAAGTTTCCCGATGGTAACAAGTAAGGCAATAAAAGAAATTGGACTGTGTATTTTAACTTGACATCCTTTCTGCCACAAGAAAATTGCCTATTCTTAGAAAAGTTATATAACTCATAGGGATCTAGTTAAAATCACAACCTAAGATAAATGTTAAATTTTTTAAGAATAGGACGTGAATAAAGCCTTCGCCTACAGCTTTAATGTTCAGAAGATTTAACGTTTAGTTTTTTGCAACTTGAGCTGTCTGACCAAGATTGATTAACATTTAATTACGGTTAATATATAACATATATATTACATATTAATATATAATATATATGAATGTAAATTCTTGGAGCAATTAACTGCCCCAGCTTGTTCTGTAGCCACCGATTCTAACCGAATTGTAATGAATGGTCTATCAACAGTTCTCCTGTTATGCTTGTTACCTTTCAAGGTGGGCAATGCCTCAAATCCTAAGTATTAGTGTCTAAGTAGTAAAGGTTACAAAACTGATGTTTAAATAATCAAAATCTTTAATTTCGTTCTCAATAAATGAGATTTTCAAGTGATCACATTACTGCGTATACAGTTTTGATCCAGGTCCTGGATATTCCTTTACTAGAGGCACTCACATCAATTTTTGTACGGATAATTAGGGACATATTTCTGTACTAAAAGCGTCTGTTGAAGCTACTGTATAGAATTCAATATACACTCAATATAAGGGGGGTCACTGGCTTACGAAACACACTTAGGAGCAATGATGCGAACCACAGTGAATGGCAGTTGCTTTATTTTGCCATTTTGCCATCTCTGCTAAGTCTTTCCCAGAACATCCTTGGAGCAATACACATTAAGGCTGTTGGCAGCAAGGTGTAACGCGAAGTGAAAATGCCTCACGTTGGCAGCTCTATGCAACTGATATACGAATAATAGTCAGTCGGCGGAAGCACTTGCGCTTTCTGTTAGTCTACCTCTAAATTGCTAACTTCTCTTATGTATTCCTAATTAATGAATACAGGTAGTTCAGTATCGTATGTTCAGTTGTCTCATAAGATATTGAATTTTAGAAGTTAGAGGTGAACCTGAAATATTCATGTCATGATGCTGGTTTAAAATAGCTTCTATGTTGCAGGAACGTGGGAGTCGATTCTAGAAATCTTATCATTCAGCGCACTAAGTAGGATGTCCTATATTCGTGAACGCGCGTGGAAAGATGTGTTCAGCCAGCCTTGGCAGCCGATGGAATTTAGAACCCGTAGACCGTATGTGTAATTCATCTTCGCTAAGCACTGCTATCACTATAAAGAGACTAAGAAAACTTTAATTAAATTTGAATTATCACTTTTTGTTATTATTATTATTATTATTGTTAATAAGGATCATAGTACCCTTTGGTTGCCAACTGGTCTTTAGCTGCTGTATTGCGGATTTAAACGAGGCTTTAATGTAGGTTAGTTTTATAGCTAATGAAGCTATTTAGTGCGAGTAAACGCATGTGCATTAAAGGCTACATTGGCTTACCACCCTAATAATGTGCCCTCTCATTACAGCCTCTTTATTGGCTGGCGCTCCGCAATTCCTGGTTTCACACTTCCATATATTGCCGCTGACAAACCGGTTGCGACACATGCCGAATTTTTTCGTCGAGAAATCGATCCCACGTACAAACGGGTTCAGGTGCAGACGTATATTTGTAAGTTTGTTTTAACTAGAAGTTATATTACGCCTCTTCAAGTTTACATTTTAAGAATAATTAAATTAGATGATTAGCTTTATATAATATTTAAAGAAAATCGAATGTCAGGTACGAGTAACTCGTTTGTGCTTGTGGTCTACAGCAGCAGTCAAAATTGTACATCTGATTTCTCTTTGCAGGTACCTCCCTATTGAAATCGATTGCAATACTTTTTATCTTGGGTTTTGCAGCACTTTTATCACAAGTATCGTGGGGAAAGCGACTTTTATGCACCTATCCAGAATTCTTTACAGCAGGATTTTTTCGCAGAGGTGGTCCTACGCGAGCTCAAGTTTTATCTTGTGGATTCACTATGTACGGTATGGATTACTCATGGAAATGTCTTATCAATAACAATGTATTTTTCCCAAAATTTATTCGCCCCACTATCGGTCCATTGCAGTTATACGCGTTTAGCTTTGACTCAGATGAACGTTTTTTTGCAACATCTGATGAGTACATGTATCCCGCTGAGATGCCAGACATACACGTAGAGGTTCCCTAGTTCAATCGTAAACAGTAGTCCTCTACCAGTCTACCTTCGAAACAGTAGTTTCTAATTTGAGATGAATACGATTTTGTACTAATTGTATTAAAATGCTGGACCCTTTTATTGAGAAGCTTGTATTCTTTACCGTGCAAATACATTGGAGATATTACTAAAGGCCGTTGGAGAAGAACGTCTCTTGCAGCTTCCCTCATTAGAGTGATAAGAGTCTCAGAGCTACAGCTATCAGAGCAATAGAGGAAGGTGTAAAAGATTAGCTACCTAACTATGTAATCGTACTTTTAATTGATTACTAACATCGAAATCATTTATAGGCAAAAGGTCTCTAATCAAAACGTCAAAAAGGAATAATATTTATTCCACACAGTAGTTACTTTCGACTAATTTGGATACTAACAACTCTCTCTATTAGTACAATATTCAGAGCTATTCCTCTCGCAAACTGAGCCCGCTGCGATATTATTAGTGTTAAAAAATTTTAGTTCGTGTAACCACCAATCAGCAAATTAAAATGCACTACAGTAACGTAATTTATATATTTTTTTTAATTAACGCTTTATAATAAATTATAGCGCATATAGTCTGCAAGTCATCGTCATTATTTTAAAGGGGTTGAACCATAATTTACAATATAGCCTCACCTTATTTATGTGGTAACACACACACACTATGAACGTGTCAGTATTTCTGAAAAGAAAGCATAGAAGTATTTTACAGAAAAGGAAGTCCGTGATAAGCACTATTGGCCTGAGTGCGCGCTACCCTGAAACATAAAGTCACTCACTCAAAACTTTAAACCAGCTATTTGCCGTGACGATAACATATGCATAGTATCAGTCAATATAATTACTAAATACATTTTATATATCGGGTAGTACGGCTAAAGAACTGTGCATTGGCAGGTATGGACAACAACATTGGATGTAATCTTACGATTTTGTCATATTTTCAATTCTTGGCTATTATATGGCTGTTGTCTCGATTATCGTAACATAGAGATATTCGGGTTAGTTATTCTAAACAGTAACTTTCTAGAACTATATACTGTAAAGTAATGGGCGATCATCAGCCGGCGATTTTTGGACTTGATCTATTTCAAAAGCTACTATATCAAGCTAATACATGCTAATTAAATTCTTAAATGTTACTAAAAACAACAAATGTTAGTAAATGGTTATTCATTACTTTTGTATCACTGTTATCCTTGTTGTTATTTCCTATGTCATAGGTATTGGTACGGGCTGGCACCACGGAGACTCCGAATCTTCTACCCCACGGAAGCGTATTGTAGTCCGTCTTGATGGTCCTGAAGTTGGATATTTAGCCACTTCGATTTGTATCGTTACTTCTGCTCTTTGCTTAGTTAAGGAAACTGAAAAGCTGTCCCTCAGGTACTCCAGTAATGGCTTTATAAATAGTTACAATAAGAAGAATAACGGCCGTGTGACTGTTGTCAGTGTTTAAAATCTTGTTAATCCTGTTAATATAACCATAATTAAAGCTTACTTGTTTTGACACGACAGGCCCTCATTTTGGCATAATTTATTTGAACAACTATATAAGTTTTCTGTATTGATCACCTTCAATGGAAATCATCAAGAATTTTTTTTAAATATGAAAGGCTTTTTTTAGAAGTGAATCCAGAGCCACTGGATGACTTTCTTAGTGATCTTTTATCTACCCTCTGGTATACATTTGAAAAGGAAGTACCGACAGACGTATAGTAACAGCAATGTATAAAGAAAATGCAAATTCGTGTACATATTTTTTCTTGTTTTGTTAAAATAGGGGAGGTTACTTGACACCAGGCTTCGCCCTCGAAAGGACATCGCTGTTGGAGAGATTACAAAAGAATCAATTCAAGTTTAGCGTAGTAGAAGATGCAGCACCTGAGACCCAATGAACATTAAGGCAGGATAAGTAGATACATATATATATGAGACCTGGTGCAATGATTCCAAAACATCTGGCGTCTCGAAAGCTAACCATAAGATTAATTTCATTTAGGTATATCTGATTTCATATCTATGCAATAGAACTCAGTCACCTCCGATTGATGAAACGAAAAGCAGGTATCAATCACCGTACTGTGCTTACAAGTAGCTTGTTTTCTTAGAAAAATTAAATGTGGTTAAATCGGTAGAATATTTGGATTTTTACAATTATTGTGATAAATAACCTCGGATGTTTAAAAATTCTTAAAACAAGTTGCGTGGACGTATACATCATAAATAAATACGAGAAGAGGCAATGCTGTATTATTTACTTTATCACTAGAGGTATGTCAATGTCCTATATATCATATGTAAAAAGTAACGTATTAGATTATCTGATATAGTAATTCCCGTAAACGTTTCGTGTTTTTCCCCGTTTTTTGTCAGTTAAGGATTTTATCGGTGTTAGAGCTGCATATATTCAAAGTAGGCGTATTGCTCAAAAGGAATTCTTAATTCTTTTAAAGCATTACTTAAAGAACTTCATGAGATTAAAACTCCTTGTATGCGTAACTATTAATATATAGAGTAGAAGCAAACACAAGAGGTTTTTATTCAGTTCCGAAAGCTTAACCGCTAAAGCTCTCATGAATTTGGACGTTAAAGGTAGAAATGTATTTCTTTCTTCTTCTTCTTCCATAGAATGTTTAGAAACACCACAAATAATTCACCAAACAATATACTGTAGGCCTTTCATTATATAAACACTAGTGGTAAGAATGGACAGGCCGATTTCTCAGACACCATAAATCCTCTAAAAGCGCGTATTGTAGTAAATTGACTCACTTCACTCAATTGTTTTCGAGACACGCTGTTTAGCATAACACCGTAGAAGAGTTTCAATCTAGCTGAAGCAAACAGGCAAAGAGGACCCATACAGTTTTTTGAAAGCAAAGTTACTCAGCTTATTATCGTTGTTGTAACGTATATTGCAACCTTCAATAATCCTTTCAACATCTTTAGTGCTAACTACATGGCATATCGCAGCTGTGTTACAACTTCTTTGGGAATATACCTAACTTAAAATTGTTATATGGCTTAGAGAAATAGGTTATCCCGCATTGTACAAAACCACCTTTCATGTGCCACTGCATGGTTCAAAAACACAATAGACGAACTATGATTGGATATTGTCTAATACATTTTTTCGTCATTTTGTTTCATTATCCTAGTTTTTCATATTTCGGTGATTGCTACCTCTTAATCTGTGTGGTAGTGAGTGGCATTACATATCTACGTACCTCTAAATACGAAGGCACCGTATAAATATTTTTCTAGTACATAATCCGCACTACAAATACATAAGACGCTATTTAACTCTATGCTGCTATTTTCCAAATTTTACCAAATGTAAGTTTAAACCTGCTTGGCCTAAATCCAACTTAAAGTAGTTGTGTTACTCTGCAGTTTCATTAATTCTTTCTTCGATTTTCATAGTTCAAGAAAATTTAAAAATTGTTAAACTTTACAGGCGTCTACAAGTGTTTATTAGGTCTTATTATATATTATCACTGCTATGATGATTGCCATGAAATCTTTTAAAAATTGCTTAAGACATATAAAACATGCTTGACAGTGTTTGAAATTCCGGACCGCCAAGATATTTTTTTTACTATTTCGAAACGTATTAAGAATTACCGCAAGTCTAGTAAAAAAAAAACATTTTTTTGTTGATATTAGAAGAATGGTCGAAATGTACAAGATTAAAATATTTTTCATTACAAGAGAACTTGACATGAAGTAAACCGGAAAACATTTTTGACGTGCATTTTTTTTTATTTACCATTAAGCATGGAAAAATTACCGAAACAGTCATACTGAAACTTATAAGGTAAGGATAAACAAATACCAATATACAAAAACGTGTTTTCATCGAACTGCGTCCGTTACGCGAATGTTCCCTTCGCCCGTGTTGCTTCTACTAACCAATCGAGCTAAAAGAAGGCAGCTGTCGACTTCAATAGGAATAACACCACGAAGTACTGCACATTTTTCGCGTTAGCACTTAAATTTTAACATTAGAGGTAGGTTTTTTGTACATCTTACCGTGAAAACGTTTTCTGCTCCAACTTGCGTTTTTAAAATAAGTGCGGGAAAGATGCATGCACACCTTGAGGACTAAAGAACTTTTACTTATTATTTTTGCTTTTAAACTAAGGCTACGTACGACTGATATTTTTGATAGTCAAATCATTTGTTTCTTCTTTTAGAAGGTTTTTGGTGAAAACTGGATCTCTTAGAAAACAATATCTTTCTGGGGGATACGTACCGTCTAGGCGCGTGCGACTATCACGGACTTTTGGAACACAAACTGCAAATTATACTAAAAATGATTACTATGAACAGATTTCTTAATTCTGTCATCTTCACTCAATCTCCGAGCAGATTCAGTTCACTGCCTTTTTGATCACAGGGACCAATTTATGTCGCCTCTCTCATTGAATGCCGACGTTTGTAATATTAAACCAACTTCTAAATTAGTTGTGACAAAAGGTACACCATATACCGTAAACGTGAAGACGTCAACAGGTGCGAAGTTGTGACTTTTGCTACTTCATCATCTCCTTGTAAACAAGCACCTTCACTGTAAAATGATTAATTGAGGGATCAATTGATCTCACATGCGTGTCGCCTATGTATATTCCACTGCATACGTTGATGCAGTGAATGCGACGACAAAAACTTGACGGATGAGCAACTTACCTCTCTGCTTGGACGTGATCACACTCTAGTTACGGCTAGCGACTTCCATTCCCTTTAGCTTGAGACAAATCGAACACACGGTCTTAAAGAAAGGGTGTTATCGGATTTAGATCTAATGCAGGTTTTGCCCAGTTTTTGGACTTGTCAAAACATAGTGAGAATAGAGTTCCGACTTTAGTTCGAAGAAATTCGAACTCGGAAATTCGAAATTTCGAAGGTGTTGAAATTTATCAGGATTTATTTAAGGAAGGTTATTGGTTTTTACCTTCTAGTGTGGTGAGTGAGAGCATAAAAAGACTTTAGGCAAGTCATTTGATTTTATGAAAGGTAATACGATCTATACCTCAGAATGCACGAAATGCTTTACTTTTTTTTTAAAATGCCTTTGTTAGGGTGACGAGCCTACAAAACGTTTGCGCTACGACTATCTTATCATATCGAATTGTATTTACCTTCTAGACCTTTACACAAATGCAGTCCAATTGCTGACTCTATCTCTAAGCAGCTTGCCTCGATTAATTGTGAAATCTTCATGAGAAAAGGAAAATGTGCTTAAAAAGGGTTGAGTAAATTTGTGAGATGAGAAATTCATATATTGTAAACAGCATATCAAGACCCTACAAGTTTAGACTGCACAGTTTGTGTGGATAATGAATGCTATATTAAGATCAGCTATGCTAATTTTCAGTCATGCAAAAAACGAGTTTATGTATGGGATGAGATGCTGCTATCAAAAAGCAAGAGGGATCCTTGCTAACTGAAAGTCACAAAAAGAATCTTATTGATGTTATATAGCCCGATTAAACTGAGGTGCATCTCAGGTAATTGACACCAAGCAATAAAATTCAACGACGAACTGTTGTTGAACTGTATTGTTGAAAATACTGCGGAACATCCAGGAAAAATTCTATCTTAATTCAGACAGAGGAACTTCTGGGCTCTAGGTGATTTTCGTTTGAAAAAAGATAGTTCTGAGTTTCTAGGTAGCTCCAATCTTATTGCTGTGATTGTATAGTGTTATTGTGTTTATTTGTAAAGGTACATCTGCATTGCATTGACTATTGGAACAAAAATGTGGTTTCGAAGCCACTCATTCAACAGCGAAACTTCGGTCTAACGTGCATTACTTTATGTATAACGTGTACTAAGTGTGTCTCTGTAGAGACAGTCGAAAGCTCGAAATATGATCTCAGTTTTGTCATTACCAGACTAAATAATAATAATATGATTATCTAAAGTAATGTCACATCCTACACTGTATGTGGTCTATTGCGCTGTTAAATGTGTAAGTACCTTTTTGCTATTGGCTTTTCTTTCCTTTTTTTGCGCTTAGTTTGCTAGAACGCGGATATTTTAGCAATCATGTACCATTTGAGGCAGCGCGTGTCATGTCGTTTGTCTTAATAAAAATTCCATTAGTTCAATGCCGTTTAGGAGATTTTGCTCATAGGCATATTATTTTGCTGAAATCTTTGCGGGTCCGCTTATCATCGACTCAAATGGTTATAATTTCCAGACATTGTAAATCTACTGGTAGCAAACATATAATGATAATAATAAATCAGTTCATGCTCGGTCACCTTAGAGTTAAGCCTTATCAAACATCATGATTAGAATTCTGGGTTGTAAAGCTACATGCAACTAAATCACAAACAACTACCACCTTTTATGATATCCATGAATCGCTATGAAAATTTCAGGAAGGTGGAGTTATTTTGTGATTCATATCTGTTGTGCTTGTATTGGCACATAATTGAAGCTCTAAAAACTCTCTACTGAGAAAAAAAGTAAATAACAAAAAGACTTCATTAAAGTATGTCACGTACTGTAGTAACAATACATTTCTAATAGCATAGTAAATTAAACCAGATTGAAAATTGACTTGCATATATCACAGACTAACATTAACAGAAAATCGGTCGTGAAATTCTGAGCTCTTCCTGGCTAACACTCATACCTGCCGATTGCATAAACGCGTAGAAGCAACGACTTCTGTGCTTGTTGCGTCAAACAGGCAGTACCAGATATGTACCACAAATCGTGTTTCTTGCTTTTCTTATGGGCTGCTGGCAATTTCCTAAAATTAGATGCGATGATATAATATCTGTTACTGCGGACGAAGCGACATTAATCAACTGTAATGATTCTTTCTTAAATTATTAGATAAAAGACTAAGAATAAGCATGCTAAGCGTTCGTGTTATCACTTTTTAGTATATATACGATTGTGTAAGTCTATCGGCAATAGCTTTTTCCTTTATGCAGCTCAATAGTATAAAACTCAGTGACACCTGCTTCAACTATAATTTCAAAATACATATAATATACGTATCTGAATTATCATGGCGAAATAAAGTTATTGGAGTGAAGTAAGAAACATGCGTAAAATTACGCTGCATACTAGTGTTTATAATTAATTGTTAGAATAACGAACGTATTTATTATTAGAGCTAATAATAGGGCTCGCGTTTAAGGGTCGCTGAAAATTTGCAACTGAGTATTATGTAGGTTTAGTATGGTCCTTCGGAAAATATAGGCTTTCGAGCTATCGAATGATCTACTGCTTCATCAGCTCTACACTTGAGTTCAAAAGAATTACGAAATGATATCAAAAGGGCGATATAGCGGTTTACATTTTGCTAACTAATGGTGCACAGGCACACGTTACTAAGAAGTATTCCAAGAAGTAGTATTAGAATTGGACACGCTTCTTCTACTAGGATTTTACTTACAATGATGACACTTTCGTACTAGTTACATGTCATAAAACGGTTCCTAGAAAATGGACATTTGTAATTCATGTAAATTTGAAAACTCGTTTGTGATGTACATCTGTAGTTGCAAGTGATGAGATGCAGTTCTTCTACAAGGCATGACGTTTGTTTCATAAAACTATTACTGTTTTTACTCAGAGCTCCGAATATATTATATTCGTTTTTCAGCTTTTCTGAGTTTATAGTTGCTTACAATGTAAATAGGAAATTTTCGAAATAGTCGCAAAACTTTCCTTGTGTAAAAAAACTTTTCTAACTCAAGTATTCTGATTTGCATTTTTGTTGCATAACCGGTGTCGCCACTAAATACTCCACGAAACAGACTTGATTTTATGATAGGCGCTTTACGTATACATTTATCATAGATGGTTAATACTATCAGCATAATAATGATTATTTGTAAGTTTAGAAATACCTTGTTTACTTTTTTTAGGATGTCTAGTAGAAGTTCCAAATTGTGCATTTGGCAGAACCCCTGAGTCGTGCTTTATGCATTTAGATGAATGTATGATACATGCCTTTCCGCGTAGAATATATATATACACTCCAGCCAGAGAGAAACTTAGATTATTTTCCTATCAAGGGATTGCTGGGATAAGGACACGACACTTTTGAAATAAAACGTAATTATAAATAGCGCACCTTTTCGGCAATACTCCAGCAGTACTGCATTTTGAATCAATGTGAACCACGCGCTATTATTCTACTCTAATCCCGCTACTCTGGTGTCTTTGGGAACATTGGTCGTCTTCAAGATATAGTGCAAATAACAGAATGACTTGTACCTCATATTCGAAGGATTATACCTGTTTTATTTATATTTAACTTGAGAATAATTTAAAGATAACTCCCAAAGACTTAGTTAAGAAGCTGCGCTAAGTCTGCCTATTTATTTCGTTACTGTAGAAAAATACGTTAAATTCGAAAAACCATTTTTATGCAACTTTATCATGCCCACGTTCATGCCGTCGGGATCCTTACTGCACGATTTGTCGATATAAGCAGTTATACCATACTGGATGCACAGAATGTAAGCGAGTGAAGCTCTTGTGGAGAGAGAGAAGGATGGAAATGTTCTTTGACGTATATAAGGTACGTACAACAAACGATCCAGTCATTCGCCTATCAGACGAACATTCAACGTTATTTCAAAGCAGAAGCTAAATGACAAATGAGTGACAGTAAAGTCATATACAAAGTTCAACACTAAAGTCAAAAATATTATAAGGAACACGGCGTAGTGGTGTGACCCTCTTCATAGTGTAATTGTGGACCTTGTGGCGTGAAGGTGCGATGGCAGGCATTAAACATAACGCAATACTTTATCTCGTTAGGTACTTGACGTTATGCGTAGCTTTCTTATCTGTAGTAATCAGCAAATCTACAGGTTAGTAAAACATCTTCTGTACACAAGATTAAATTTTTTTTTCTAGTTTCTTTCTATTTTTTTTCTGAGTTAATGCCAGTTATCAGGATTATATACTGACATGTGATTTGATAAGGCAAACCCAAGCAAATACTGTTTGCGAGGCTGTCGAGTTGATCACGTGTAGCTAAAGTCCATTAGAAGTAAGCTGTCAAAGTCAAAATAAGCAGTACATATTGGCTGCCCCAGGTGCGGCGATCTACTCACAGAAGATGCAGCCGTTGACAACGGAGATTCGCAACCTTCATAAACGGTGCCGATCTCATTGCATTGATTACATCATACCAATGCCAGTAGTCGCCATTGAAAAGTGCCACAAAAGGAAGTAAAAGCTGACCGGCTTACTTCGGTAGAGGGCATGCTGTAATAGTCTAAACAGAAGTGAGCATGTTTAGTGCTATGCTGACTAGGCAAACCCTTAATATCCAATACTCAGTTTGTCTTTCAAGCGTCTCGCAGATCGTTTGCCTCCTAAAGACCTAGCAGTTTACCGAGGTTGGAACCAGACTGAGTGCAAGAGAATATATACCAGGATGGTGTATGCTAGATAAGAAGAGCTGTACATGAGTACTGATGTCGTTAGACGGCCGGATATTTTTTTTATCTACCGTTTCAACCAGGTTTAGTATAAAAAAGTCTAAAAATAGCCACAAAAAAGCATACGGTATCGGGAGGGCTAGATTTCGTAAATTACGCTAGAGCGTGAGGACAGGCTATTCTCAAAGTTTCGCCGCGACACAAATCGTCGCTGAGTTAACGACACGGGAGTCTCTGGCCAACTCTGGCCGTGGCAGAGTTGTAATAGATAAAGACTCGGAATAAGGTTTCCGAGAATATTTGTGAAGGCTCCGCGCTCAAAACCCTGCCAGCCAATAACAAGATAAAGCGTAATTCTTATTAATGATGTATTCTTTATGACTTCTTTTTTTTTATGTAAGTCAAAATAAACTTGTTTGGCACCTTGATACATATAGCAATGCACGCTAACCCTGACGATCCTGTGAACGCTTTTAATAAATCGGTTATGGCCTTCAGCAACTCATTCATATGAGCCGTATTCTTTGACATCCCATTCTTTCCATCCAGCTGAAGCGAACCGCGTTGACTAAAAGGAAGGACGTTCTAAGGCTACTCGCTCTGCACTTGTATTATAAATGATAGCTATAGACTAAGATCTGTTCTCAGAAATAAAAAAGAAAAGAAATTCTCAGAAAACTACGACCTATTGTCTATTATATATCTAGTTAACTGAATGTAGAACTTCTCAATATTGATTCTAAATGCCGATTACGTGGCCTTTTTCTAGGTGCGGTTACCACTCCATCTGACATATGCAAACTGCCAGCGGAGACCGGGCTGTGCTTTGCTGCTTTCCCAAAATGGTTTTTCAATGCGACATCAGGCCAATGCGAAGAATTTATTTACGGGGGATGCCGTGGAAATGAAAACAATTTTCCCACAGAGAGGGAATGCATTAATCAGTGTGCAACTAGACACAACGGAAGCTAGATATACTCGAAGGGACTGTTCCTCAAAATAAATTTTAGAAGTATGTTTTTCTTGTGTGTAACCGCCTATGTTACTTCCAAACTTAACTATCGTGTTTATTCGAATAAATTAAATGCGTTAAGTCGAAACAGGTGAGCGTATAGCAAAATAAACAATCGTTGAATCTGCTTACGGCCGTATATATCCTTAAAGTCTTCTAATAACACAGACTTTTAGGATACAGTAACTATTCTCTATGGCATGTCTCGAAAATATTTAGAATTTGTTATTTTAAAAACCTAGGAATTGTTCTTTCAAATCTAAATTTGGTGCACTTCGTTGCCACATGGATCCAGATAATCTTCTATAATCTACTTACCCTACATTTGACAGCGACCTATTTAAAGGTACAAGAGACACAGTGTCACATCCTCAACTTTTTGTCAAAACTTTATTTCAATTATTATATATAATATCATGCAAAGTTCCTAAATAATAAACATGTTTAGCACAACGTTATTATTCTTGCATGCATTCCTCAACGGCATAGCCCTAGCAAGGAAAAGCGTATAAATGAATTAAGGTGATTCACGCAATATGCCTGTAATTGATACGGGTTGTGATATACACATTTAACACCAAACGTTTTCATTATTTTTATTGAGGTCGATGTAGTCTTGAAATTTTAACATTTCACGAAATAAACATATACTTAAACTCAACAAATGTCAGAGCAAATGATAACGCGTTTAAACAGATCTAAAGGTAGTTGAAAAAGACTCAACATCGGTGCACTCGTAGACTTCACAGAAACGGTGAACTTAATTATAGAATAATCAGCAAATTATGAAGTAATTTAGAAAAAAAATAAGGTACAAACGAATTATAAATCGAAAGAAGATAAAAACAGGAAATTAAAAACATACTTTATAACTTAATCACTGTCAATGTTCTTTTTTATTTCCGATTATCTTATATTTTGTTCTTTGCTAACAAATGACATGTAACCAAATTGAAATGCATTTGTAAACTTTTAGACAAAACGATAACGTTGGATGGGTTGATCAATGAAAGGACGTTTTAGGTAATACTCTATCATGAGCAAACGAGTAATTGGAAACAGTAACTAATGAGCAAAAAATTCTTAAATAATTTAATATGATATCTTCGATGTAAGTCTTGTACCTACAAACAATATACGTGCTATTTTCGTGCCTTTTATTTGCTTTCTGAGGATCGAGTTAAAACTTCTGATTTTTATAGCCTAACACACACACATATTTAGAATGTTATCTTGTAAATGCGTCATATGACGTATTGCATCCGGATATGATAAAGTAGAGCTGGACTCTTCTATAATATAACTTAATTGGCCTTATCTAATGATTATCTGCCTCCGACGTTAGAAATGATTTAATCAGCCTAACAATCGTCGGTGCTTTATCGACACGGGGTGCGAAGCTAAAGGTATTGTTGAGTACTACTTATCTGGCCAAGAATGTCCTGTTGACCTTAGTGTGAATTTAGGCAGATTGGATATATTACGGCGTTTCCGTACCTTAACCGCCTTCGAACCTAATGATTTAATGAATAGTTGGGTTAATGTAAGTGAAATTTGAAGCAATGCAGGGATCGATGTCATAAACACCTATTAAATCTAGCCACAGTATCGATTTCCTTACAGGTTTATCTAACACTGGTATATAAAAATAAATAACAGTGATTTTTTTAATTCCACTTAAGTTAATACAACGATATAAAATCATCAATCACATTGGCAACGCTAGATGGTATAATTAAAAACTTTTCAAAAAAATTAATGAGAGCATTAAATAAAAGCCATCTGCCTGTTATAAGCAATGTAGAATGCATTGATTTAATTTTGTAGTAGCTCAATTGAGCACTAATTTAAATTTGTATTTTTTTTTTTGGCTGTGATTTTTAATCTTACCATCGGATGGAGTCTTGATTGCTAAATACTTGTCAAGGGGTTGCGACTGTTGAATTTGCTGTGAACGTAGTTGTTGTCCTGGCACAATGAATTTCTGCTGCCGCGCTTGTTGTTGAGTAGATAGGGCAGCTGGAGAAAACCCATAGAGTTGGAAGTTTAACGGTGCTAAGCTGAGAGCGATTAGGAATGGGCCGAGTACAGTAATGACAATTGAAGGTGCTAGAAGGGCTACAAGGAACGCAATGCCTGAAAGGTAAATTAATCCGAATTCTTATTTTTAAGTTGAGTGGCCTTATTTATGCTATATTGTATTAGATGAATCTGTTCTGTTGGATGAAGCTTGTTCTCAATCTTAACGGATCAGATGGTCAAGGCTATGCGGCCAATGCACAAGGATAATGTATACATATACACTGCGGAGAAAAGAATGCTAAAATACAATATTTTTCTATCTTTTATCATATATAATTATAATATCCCGGCTAGTAAGTGCTATGTGACAGATGTACTCACCGATTTTCTTGACATAAAGTGCAGTGGCCCCAGCTTTCAGGAGTCCATTTTTAATGTCGTTGATTTTATGGTTTTTATTGCTGCATCCGCCATGCTTATTATGATCGTTCTTACCATAGCTGTGGCCATATCCATGACCCCCCAGGTGTCCCCCCCTGGAAGACCAGTCACTGTCAAGTCCCCAGTTTTGTTCTCGATACCAATGAGCTAGCTCTCGCCAATCCGCTCCACTTGATAAAGATGACCCTTTCCCACCGAAGTTACTGAAAAGGTTCCACCAATTTAATTCATTGAAGTACTGCAACTAGTTAATGCAATAGAGTGTTTTAACTGAGCTGAATTCATTGAAATCAAGAGCATGAAATATTTCGATTACGCGTTAACATGGAGTAAGACTTGTGAATGAAATTTACGTTTTCCCGGAGAAAATAACACCAAACTAGGATAAAATGAGTCACCGAAGCAGTCTTTGTCGACGCTTATGAATGCTATAGCAAAATGAGATCACTGTAATTACACTGTGTAATTACTGTGTAAGCAGGTATAATTCAACTAACAGTGACCAAGAATATAGTATTTAGCAATAGTTCAACATTTAATTCAAATAACCAATTGTGCCAGTGCGGATTTCTTGCTTCTGCTAAGGCAACACAAAATATTCCCAGAGGTCTACGTATATGATAATACTATTTTATTGTTGTCGCTCTGACAACATTTGTATTGTTACATGGAAATACATCAAAACTGAAGCACTCACTCGTAAATGCCACCGCCAAGATTAGTAGAGGAATATATCTCCCTAGCGGCGTCATCGCCGCCAGCACTACTGAACCAATTTGCACCCGATCCGGTAGCCATACTCACTGAGTCGTACTGAGCTACTGGTAGTGTACTTAAGACGTCCAGATTTCTATCACTGGTTTGAATTGGAGGCGCCTGTATCTGCGCTGAGGGTAGGGGTGCTTGGGTCGGAAACGGAGGAAGCTGTGGTCGTGGCATTTGAGGTAATGGATTAGAAAGTGGTCCCGTTGGAGCGATGGCTGCCATCGGAGTGGTTCGGAGTTTCTCAAGGAGGTTTTTGTGATCTCTTTCTCTCTGTAGATCCCTTTCATGCATTCGCTTTCGTTCACCTTCGAGTTCATGTTCACGCTCACGCTCGAGATTGCGGTTTCTGTTACAACAGCAGCAAAAAACGGTGATGACAACGACGGCGACGATTAGGAAAACAGAAACAATAAGAGCAGTAACACATAAAATTACAAAAAAAACAATAAAAACGAAAAAAATGTTTAAGCGTCGAATAGCAATAGTGAAGGTTTCAAACAAGGAGAAAATACAGAATATTAAAGGGTTATCATCCAAACTTCCTAGGTTTAAATCCGTTTTGTAAAATCTCGCTGTAATTAGCTTTTAACAAATGGAGAGTTCACACATTATTATGGAACGGGTTGGAAGCTCATTAACTCTTGCTGCAAAGTTTGCAAGCTATCCAACTTTATTGGGCATACAGTTCTGCTTAGAAAGCAGCTGGTCAACTACGAAAGCTATGTTTGCTGTTTTATTATGTGTCATACTAATGTTTGTCGATGCTCTGTTTATCAAGCAGCTGTTGGGCAAGCTAAACTGATTTCATATATCCTACACGTGACGTTAAGGCCCAGAGGAAAAACCGAGGAAACGAAATATACTCCATGTCCATTTGCGGGTCAATAATGTCATAAATCCGGATTCTTAAATTTTCTTGAGTTTCCTAATGGAACTAAATATACCCAAAAAACTAACGTAAACACATATGTTCTGTCTCCAATTATCTCCAACAGTCTATCAACCCTTCCCTGAATAAGTCCTCGGTTGCGGGTCCGTATTAAAAGAAATCGTGTTTAAACGGATAAGCTTTTTAAGTGGAAAACTGAAGTCGCCAAATGCCTATATTTTGAAGACAGTTTACATTGTATATTTTAATTTATGTCCTGCTTTCATTTTTTATGAACTTAAGAACGTCACTCAAAAGTTCGACTTGATTATTGAAGTAAAGCCTAAGCGTTTACATCTGAGTTTCCTCTTACTATAATATGCAAAATTACGAGTCAATTCATTCTATCTGTACTAAGATAACAGATAGACTCCACAAAAGAAAAAAAAAAGTGTGTTCGATGTGTTGTGCGAGCTTCCAACTGTTTTCATCAAACAAAGTATGGCAAACCTTTTTCGTGTGTAGTAGTCGTGGTTGACATATTCATCTCCATCTTTCCAGTCCTTGAAGCGGTCGGCCACTCGCGTGTTCACCAAATGCGTAACGGCCATACCATTCAATGCTTTACCCTCGACGTTCCCGCAGAACCCAATGATAGCAATACATATTAAAGCCTGATAAGCTACGGTTTGCATTCGGATACTGATACCGAACATCGCATCAATGTAGAATCTAAGGCCACCGATGGTCACTACGGCGGCAAGCGACTTTTACCAAGCAATTAATATCGTAATGCTTATCAGACAATGGTTTTGAGGTCGCTGTTGAGAGAAGCTTGCTGAACATGTGTAACCGCTGAAAGGGCCTATGGATATGGAATGGCACAGAAAAACGTAGGTGATATGTGGTTTCAAACATGACATTTTGTTTCTGAAATCTACGTAAATGAATAGACTACAGAGTGGCAGAAAGACTTAAATTACGATATAATATAATAATTATAATATAGGCCTTCTGATAAATCTAATTTTAAATAGCATCGCGAAATGAATATTAGCAAAAAGAGAAACTAGCATACTATTCAAAATTATTTTGAGTTATATGATAATCGATTTTAAAGACAATATACTCAACAAATTCCGACAGCACATCCACCCATGTAAAATTTTTAATCCAGTCTATTTTAATTTTTCGCTGCTCTGACTGCTATTTCGGTGTGACCAAAATAGCCACTCATACTAGACTATCGCTTATAAAAACAAAATATAAACAAAAATTAAGGTCCATTAATTTTTTTAACGTGTCTCATTTGACTGATTTAAATCTAGACGGTTAAGAACATATGTAAATGAAAAGAGGTAGCTTGGGTTGACGTATTATCACTATTTTTTTTAACATGGACTTGATATAAATATCAAACAAGAGCGCAAAGTTACGCGTACACTTGTCTATTCACATTTTCTTAGACGAAGCTTTGGTTCTTAAGCAATCAGGTATTTTCAAGTATGTATGCATTTACACATATGTCTATATATACATAAGAAGTATGTCCATTAAACAAGTTATTTAAATATTATGCTAATCCCGTTGAAAGTAAGTATCACTTTGACACAAATGTTCATGATGACACCATTTAAAATGTTTTCCACGACCGTAAAATATGCGTTAGCTATGTTGGAGCGCTCTTATCAGATATGTATAGATTTGAAACAATGCCTAAAAGCTTAAATACCAGTCGCAAAACTTTAAACACGCGTTTACTGCACGTATGCACCCTCTGTTTAGGGCGTCCCGCTCGGTCATACTTGCTGATAATTCTTTTCTTGGCTGTTCTCAAATTTGACTATATCTTCACAGCAAGACCGTACTAATATCTGACTATTTATCATTTTGTTAAACTTCAAGTAAACACTCCTTTTGCAGCTTATCAGAATGTATGGTATGAAATAAGGATTATGACATATATAATAAACAATGAAATATTTATATTTTATAGCATTTTAGACAAGAGTATCAAATAAGGTAACACTAAATAAAATTGCCTAAAAAAAACTAGAAAGAAAACTAGAACTAAACTAAACTAAACTAAACTAAGAAAATTAAAACATAAGACTAAAATGTTTATATTAAAATTCGGCATGTCCTTTCTTTTTCTGACTTACCAAAACGACAATACGACTCACTTACATAAAGTACAACATTATGCACGCTAAAGAAGCAACACTTCGAGCAAACGTTCACCACCTCTTCATTTAAGAGTTTCTGCTTTATCGTCTGAGCTTATCTATTGTCTATAAGAATCTTCTTAGTAAAGCACACTGGCTTCATCTCAGCTCAAGCGAAATCCAAATGATAAGTGCTAACGTTAGAATACGTTAGACGGAAGACACTGAGAACATCCAATCTAAGCTACGCAGGCGGAAGCAACGGTAACAGGTCTAACCGGTTTAAACAAAAGAAGCAAATTATTCTTTAGGAGTATTTAATGAACCTTTCTTACATGTCGGTGCCTGAACACGCCCTAGCACACCTCAGCTGTGACGCTAGTTTATAGGTACTTGTTATCAAGTCAAGATAGTCAATACGGAATAGTGACTGAACGCTGGGACGAAGCTCGCTGATCACGAAGCAGAGGGAACATTCGTATTTATTGATCCGTTACGGATACGAGCTTTCTGAAGACACAAAACAATCTTTCCGAGAACCATTCCGATCGTATTGTACCACTCTCAACTCCCACAAGTAAATGGTATCTTTGTCACTGCAAAATAAATTTTGCACTAAGCAGATAGTTAGAAACGTGATGATGCAACTACGGTGGTGGAAAATGACGCCTGCTGAAACATCCTCTGTTACAATAGAACTGCACGTAATATCTTAATCTATTCCCCTAATACATTAGACCTTGTAAGTTCTACATTTGCACTGGCTGTACAGAGAAAATAAAATATATTAAAGTATCTTTCACCAGGAAGACTTTACGTTATATAATGAGCACATTATATAGAATTAAATAACGAGATCAATTAAATTTTTCATGTATCCATAATTTTAACTATTGTCTTTTACGGCGCCGTAAAGCAGCCTAATCGCGTAAGTAACCACTCTCAAAATACGTGATTTAACCTATGAGAGCTTTTTGCTTCCTTTTCAGGGAGCGTCGATAGTTACTTCCGCCCGGTAAAACGCTGGGTCTATCGTATTTATTTTTTCCTTCAATCTATCTTCGATCTGACCGCAAACTCCTACCTTTAGTTGACAGTTACTAAGGCTCGCCGTAAATAGGTAGGGGTACAGTTAAAATGATAAAGCTCCTTTGCCTTGGTAAATTTATGACACCCGCTAAGTGCACAAAAACTGCTTGTAGGCCAAAGAGCTCGACCACCGTTTTTAAAAACGATCTGACTGGTTCAGAAATCATAAGCAGAACTAGAGAAACCGAGTTACAGCTAGACGATAGGAAGATACGTCAATTCCTTTATATACTTAGAAATGGTATTGCTCCTTACGGGTTAATCCTTTAAAGTATAGATTAAAAAAGTTTGTAAAATGTATTCAAGTCCCAATATTCTTCCATGCTCTGATTTTATTCTTTATCTATTTATTAAATTTATTCTCTATGTCTAAAGTGTTATGGAACTTAATAATGCGTGTTATAATAAAGTTAGCTAAAGGTAACTAGCTTTATTAACAAGTGTTAACAAATACTTTGCACATAGCTTTGTCGAACTTCCGTCGGAGATCCTAGGTGATTGAACCTTCACTTGTAAGCTACGCCGTTTAGGCGGACGTAATTTCCAAGGATATGGGATGGCTCTCGTCCTTCAAGTACTCTAGATTCTTATACCCTTTAAAGATCATGGTATAGCACGTAGCTTATGATGCGGTGATCGACTCATCCCATCCCAGCGGAAACGAGATTGATCAACTGATGTTGTTTACCGTGCAATATTCTCAGTAATAGAAACAGGGATTACAATCTTGGTCGAAGTTCCAGTTACTTGACATCTTCCCAAATTTCTCCAAATCTAAAAACATGCCTATCAAGGAGTATTTTCAAGATCGCTTCCTTATGAATATAGTTGGTTTAAATTTTGCTTATTGTTGGGTTCATGCATGAATAGCACTACATGGGCTAAGTTCTAGAAATGCATTTTGCCCGTTTCTGTATACAATACTATGACACACTTGCTGGTAAGAACGTTGCTTTCTAATTCGTTCGTAAGCATCTAAACGCTCATAGTTACCGATATATCAAAGATCGATAACTGAGCTGGTGGATGTAGTTCAAAATAACTAAAAGAAAGAATCAAAAAGAAATGTTAAAACAGGATATCAGAGAAAAAAAATATATCGAGGACGACAAAAGGGAACTGCGTGGTATGTGGAATGGTCCATTACAGATTGTGCTAAGTTAAATAATTAAAAGAAGCGAACGATTGAGGTTAAGAAAATCCGATATTTTTATCATGAGATCTGCGGGTTAGTGCTTAATGTACACTTTACATTACTTCTATATACGTACATGCGTACGGTCAAATTAGAAATGAAAAGTTCTCCGACAATCGTTGTTGTCATCGAGAACATTGCTACGTCCTATAATAACCTCAAAATTGATTATGGTGAGTGGTTCAGATCTTATTAATTTCATCTTCGGATGTACCTTTCATTGCGGTCTTCACTGAGGTTACTGTATGTGAATTGTCCTAAAACCTTTTTGTTCCAAAAAATTATGCAGGTATATGTGTTTAGGTATTTTGTCGGTTGTTTGGCTGGCGAAGTATCTCTACCGTGCAAAGATCCGATAGCACAAACCATGGACAAATACACCCAATTGCTTGGAATTTATTATCCTAACGCATCTTGTTCACAGTTAGTTATGTTGCTGCCCGTGTCGATGATATCACTTGCTCAAACCGTTTATTTTCAAAGTTAGGAACGTCACACTACTTTCTAGGAACCTAATCCTGTTCGTCCGAGGCGGTTGTCTAAGTAAACGCTTTTTCTCACCAATCTTGGAGCTTCGAACTTTTTTCTAACATCCGATTCATGTGATATTTTAGCTTTCCGAACGTGCCTCAGTAATTATGTATTCAGATTTTAAAAATGATTTTCTTCTAGCATTTAATCCAGACCCTTATTCAAGAATATGCTCTGTTGTCTAGACTTGAGCCATATCTATAGGTGCGGAAATAGTCTGCATACAACTCGTGGTATAATAGATGAAGTTTGCAAGCTTCGTTTGGGACAGCTTGCTATGAATTTGTTTTAAGAATCTCGTTTTTAGGAAAAAAACGTTTAGTATACTGAGATATAGTTCGGGAAGTCTCACAATGGAAGACTTTTTGGCTTTCGCAAGAATAACCCACAGAACCTTTACGCGTTATCGGCTCGCCGAGCACCTGTCCTCGAGAGTTGTTATTAGCGGGGCGATATATTGCTTACTATATAGACTATATAAGAATTTAGTTTAATCTTGGAATAAAAGGCCACAATACTGAAATAATTTAATATAACGCCTCTGTAAACATATTTCTTGAAAAAGTAAGAACCTTGCGGTAGAACCTTGAACTTCGAAAAGATTTTATCAGAAAAATTTGTTTTGGTATTGTTTGTGTCCGTTGTTTGTCTTCTCGTTTGAAGCTCCGTTTACAGATTGCCTGAAGGGATCAATAAACAATACGATCCGATTCCCTTTGTTATTAAAGAAAGAGTAAATACATTTCAATAATCTACTCTAAACCTTACTGATGGGTGCGCAAATTCCTACTAAAAAACGGGCAATACAGATACATTTTGTGCACATCATTCATAGTTTTCACAAATAAGACAGAAACAACGTGATCGCTACTCCTTCATATAATATTACTATGTCAATGAGTGCCGTAGATGGCTAAAACAAAAAAAATCTTTGGGGATAAGTTCTCTATACTCAGATAATTAAGTTACCTTGGATGAATAGAGGCAGGTATTTATTCTTCGTCTCGTGTATAATTCAGTCTCTACAAAGACTCGAAGACAGAAAAGATGACTATTGATCATAGTAAAAAATAAAGTTAAGATCGCACTTGAAAACCAAAAATTTAGATGCAAAAGTCAAGTAGGTCTTATGCAGACCTTTGACAGCATGAGTTTGTTTCCTGAAGGTACAAATGAGCTACAGCGAGTATTAGATGAGGGCGGAAAAAGGAGTCGGTTAACGCTTAACGAAAAGTATGTTCCGATACACAAAAAACTAATAATCAAAGGAACTGAGCTGTGTTTAATTCTATTCTAGAAGTTGGCAACCTGGAGGTATTTGATATCCATAAATCTAATGAACTTAAACGACAAGCAGAGGTGTTGATGATTGCTTGGTGACAATCGACCAGTCATTCTAAGTACGAGAGCAATAAACGCAAAGTACCAGAAGCCTAAAACCTTCAATTTAGTATCTATGACAAAAAAAAACAATGACAGACCACATTGTGATTGTGTGAAGATTTTAGGCCTGTCAAATGCTAATACAATTACAGATTTTATACATACCTGGTGGACGGTGAAACCTATATATATATATATATATAGGTTTCACCAAAAGAATATTGTAGAACGAGAATAACGAGCCACAGTCAGGACAGACGATTTGGAATGCAGGCAGGCACGTAATAATACCTAGTGCAACATACATGTTGAATTTGCAACAAATGAATATAGGTCTCTCTACAATTCTTCTGTAAAGAATAGTAAATGAAATAAAAATGTATAGCCCACGGCAATGCTCTGTCATATATATGTGTGATGTAAACTGTCACACGCCATAGCTCGATGTAGACGTAACAGAAGTCTACCAAAAATTATATACGCTATTTATTGTCTATTAGCTCTAAGTAGCAACAACGCTGGGCATTTGGAACCTAGCTCCAATCACTCTAAGCATATGCAAATTGATGCTGCCTTGAATTTACTCATTTAACAATAAAAGTTGATTTTTATTATCATCAATTTTGTTCCACTATATAATCTTTAATAAATTGTTCTAATGTCTAAGCCTTTTTTTACTTTTCTCTTTTCAGGCAGAAACTCGGGACACCTTTGATAACGTCCAGATTTAAGTCTTTCTAAAAGTACATTTTACGCTACGCATTAACTATAAGTATACAGGAAAATTATTTGTTGAAAACATACGCAGTCATCTTTAACCATACATTGCTTACAAAAAAGTGTCATTCACAGTATTTGTGGCTGTTCAATGGTAATGGTCCTCTTAAAACTATTGTTCCAAAATTTAAAAAACGTAACCTTAAATTTACATTAAAGGTTTCAACAATTTACGAAATGGACGTCAATCATGCTTCATCATATTGCAAGTAGTTTAGTTTCATCTTATGCCAACGTGGCGAACCGCTTGAACTAGTTAGGGTTCCGTCCTTTTTCACTAATGTGCGGAACTGCGCGCCAAAATCTATCCATCAGGTGGCCAAAGAATATGTACAAATATCTAAACGCAGGCAAGTCAGGCATTTGAGTTGTGAGTATATTTGATTATCTGAATAGGGATAGTTGCTGTGATAGAGATTAGCCCTTACAATCTTTACGATGAAAACCTTCAGTGATATGCAAGTGATCTGCCGAGAGCGACAGGTTAACCAACTTCGAAGTCTTCTTGCTTTGGTAAGTTTGAGTCCAACTGTAACAGTAAAATCGCTACATGATAGCGCACTTCCATTTCATTTAGAGCAGGCAGGCATACTATTCGTTAAAATAAATAGACGTACGAGTGAAAGGATTTTCGGGTGGTTATTCATAATGGTTTTTAATCGCGTTTTCTTTAATTATCTTTCGTTTTGTAAGCAACGATAAAAGTTTGAAGAAGAGAGATATACAATGTTTATCAAAACGAGTTTGATATCCATCGAAGTTCATTAATACGATCAGTGCTATTTTTTAATTTTATTTAAGGATAATGCATGCCCAAGGAACATTCCAGTGCAAGCCGTAATTATATTCGGCGATTCTGGAACGGGGAAATCATTCACAGTGAAGAAGATTCTTTCAGCAGCAGAATCGTCAGAAAGTTTGGTTAGTGTTATATCTACCACGTTTATTTCATTATCCATAACATTATATAGTTAAGATACATAGGCTTTCTTTTAACCGTTATTTTTGTCGAAGTCAATTATTTCAATGATTTAAATAAACTTGACGTGCCCTCCAAGCTCTCAATAAGCAATTTTTTTGAAGTAATATAAATAAATGTAAAAATCTCTAGTTACTCTACGTGCGAGCTTAAAAAAATCATAGGTTTGCACACGTAAAGATTGGTCTGAAAGTTCATTTTAATTTAATCAAGCGTTTTGTGCTTTTCAGTAGATCAAAGACTGTTTGCCAAATTATAAATAGTCTTGCCAAATACGTTTGGGCGGTTCATTAATTACGTTTTTTAATGTTAGTCGAAGAAAGTGAACGTTCTGCTTAGAATAAAATTTCATCTCCGATTTAGATTCTAAAGATCCAGGTGGGAAACGACCACATTTTGACACCTTCTCGTTTGTTTTTATCGAGGCCAGGATAAGTGCGGTTTTTTTTTGCCGAATACTTAAACCGTTAGGCATTTCTCAGAGACAGTTGGGCCTTCCCAGCACGAAACAAAGTGTAGGGTCTTAAACGAGGTCACCTCACGTATCCGTGAGTTTAATCAGCAAGTACCTTAATTCTACACAATCGTATAAGGACGGCATATGAGACCCGTAGAACGCCAACCGCTTGCCTCTGGAGGAAGCCAATCACTGGATAAACCGACATAGTTTTAACTATTAATTGACTTTTTGAATTAATCCTATTTAGTGAGGGTGCTGGGTCGTCATCCTACAATTCTCAATCTCAACTGGTCTTGCAACCAGTCTTCCTTAAGAAATCGAAACGAGAGCAGATCTTCAGTTACGAAATGCCGCTGTTGGATATTCTCGGTATTCGGCACAAGTACTTCAAGCTGCGTCGGTGTTTTCTTTCTAAACAAAAAGCGATATCGAAGCTCTCGAAAATGCTTGTTACATACTGTCCTCGGGAATCTTTGGAGCATAAATTTAAAAAGCATTCGAGAAGCGGGAACATATTATTATCCTAATAAAGCTTTTTCGAATGGTATAGCCGGTGGCGTCTTTTACGTGGGGTATAACATTAAAGCAAAGTTTTCGTTGTTTTCTTTCTTATGCAGGAATTCAAGATCCGTTATGTGTGGTTAAACTGTGTGGAACTACTTCAGGCTCGATCGGTGTTTTCACTGATTCTTAACCAACTAACCACTCGTGAAGTGGACAGTCTTGAGCAAATCAGCAATCTGAAGTCGTGCGATTCTGCTGTCGACTTCCTTAAGCACCTTTTTCAGGATTTCCAACCGGATGATCGTCTTTATATTGTTAGTAAAAACACAAACAATTCATGATATGCAGCACGGTAACATTAAAAAAAGGTATAGCGGACTGTTAGAAAAATATGTCGAAAAATCGTAGGCGGCACTGATAAGGCTTTTACTAAGCTCATTGCCGATTTAATTTGACGAAGTTCTTAACACGATTTATATCATACGTAGAAAAACTAATTTTAGAAAATCAGATCATTTTCTATTAGCGCATAAAACTGTTGACGTCAACTGGCGTTATCGTTCTCAATTTGAGAGTATATTCATGCAGATAGATCAAAATCGACTACTTTTATAGTCGAAAGTATGAATATATATCAATATTTACACATAAATTACGACATGCACACTTTCTTTTGGTAGAGAGAGTACATTTTGTTCATATTGAAAAAGCTATTAATGCCCGAAAGAAACATTAAAAATATTTAATTCGCGATTCTCATACAAAAAAAATATAGCTTCCAACGTTGTTATCGCGTTCTCATTACAGGTATTCGACGATTCCCAGCGGCTGCGGGATTTCGATCCAAATATACTTTCATTTTTCCTTCGTATACAGGAGCATGTAAGAGCATGACAATTTTTATATCGTGTGTTTAAATGTTCTAAATTTTTACAAAGAACTAGTAATGGTCAATGTAAAATTGTTGTGGACTATAGTGCGCATCGTACATAGGTAAACGGAACACCGTTGAGATTAAATTATATATAACTGACACTTTTAATTCAAGTACTAAATAATAAGTAAAAGCGCTTTCACATCAATTCCGTCTAAATGCACTTTTAGTCCTTGAATAGTTATAGCATCTTGTGCATGGACCCTACGGCTCAAGCATTTGTTCATGGTTTGGAATTTGCTTAGATTTGTGATAGATTTTTTTACTGTGCCTGACAGTTTCAGCATATTCAGAAAATGAAATATACATTTCGAGATAGAAAGGCAAGAAGCCAGAAATGTCCAAACGTGAAATAATAGTGTTATCATAAACGCCGCTTGATTTAGGTTTCTTTGATACTACCTCTGGGTGCTTTCCTGCTGTAACAATAGGTGACATCATTATAAGCCTACTTATACGTATCTATTTTTTGTTTCATAGGCGAATTCTGTAATAAGCTGTATTTTCATATCTACTGTTCCTCTTTCGCATTATCACACAAGTTCAGGGTTCTGCACGCCCCACGAAATATTCTTCCCGTATTATACACAAGGTACGAGTAATCAACAATACAAAATTAATCATTTTAAAATTACCAATTTTTTTTACCCTATCAAATTTGAAAGCCTACATATTTAATGAAACTGAAAAACTATTTATATGGAATAATTTTCAGACGAACTTTGTCAAGTGCTTCTTGAATCCTGTCCGTCAACTTGCAATACGAAGTTCTATGAGCACTATCTTAGACTGGTCCTGCCTGTTTTCAAGAACGCCAATGCTAATGTTAAAGAGCTCATGCATATCGTACGTGTCCTTAAACACTCGCCTATTTGATTTTTCAAGCTATTCATGCTAAAAACATGCAATATAACTTCCTGATTACAAAGTTTACTTGATGACCGTTTATTGACAGAAACCAAGTATACCAAGTATATCAAATAGTATCGAAAAGCTGGTAATCATTGAAATATTACAAATGGACAAGGCACTCCTCTGTTTTCTTTTTTTCAAATACAATAGCCGTGTACCATTAATTCTAATCTACGAAATTTAGTGTCATCACTGAAACCATTTGATTGCTAAAATGTGACTCCTGCGAGTCCAATGTTGCCTATGGATTTGTATTACTTAAATGTAATTATTTTGCATTTTCTTTTAATCTTCAGGCAATTGCAAACTTCGTAAACTACACAGCTCCGCTAGCTAAAGATTCTTCACTAAAAGACCACTCTCTAAAGCTGTGGCACAACATCGAACCTTACTTGAAGAAAGCTTTAGAAAGTCTTTATCTGCGGGAAGTAGATGCATTTGTTTCTGGCGAAACATCAGACAGTGCTACTAAAAGCATGGTCAGAATCTTGTATCAATATCTGATAAAATAGGGAGTAATTACCTATGAGTTTAAAGTCCTGAGAAGGCTGGAGTCTCCTTATTGCTTTAGATATAATGTATAACATCACGGACGTGATGAATCTACTCGATCTAAAAAAAACTATTGTTTGAAATCTGTGATTAGTAGAGGGAGTATTTAAATATGATAGCCTCAAATCTAGATTCCAAGGAACGAACATTTCATAATTACGGCGATTATTCTTTAAAGCAAAAATTCAAGAAACATTTTTCACAAATCTAAAAAACACTTATCTAACACGTCAACAATCAATTACTTTGTTGCATGTTAAATGCTATACAGAAACTTACATTAATAAGCCATTTATATTCTAGTGATGTAGGTGACATCCCTTGAAAATTTAGTATAAGGATACATGCATGCGTTGATATAGTAATCCGTTACCTACAAAACTTGTCTTAGAATTTAAGGTTTAACCGTTTTTAATTTCATATACTTACTTGTATACTCAAAATTATTAAACTTGTGCTTAATGTTCTGTTGTCTTTAAATGAACGTGCTTAAACAACAATTCAGAACAACAAGCAGATTATTGAACTTCCATTGTATTCGAAGTTTCTTCTGATTGCGGCGTATATTGCATCGTACAACCCGCCTTCCACAGATCGCAAGTTTTTCGTCAAGGTAGGCTATATGATAAAATATTAGCCTTCTTCCATCTAACGTATAGCCAAAGAAATACATAGTAGCCTCAAAGAAATATCTTTGTTCTTTCGAAATTAGTCTTTTTGAAGTCGAACTTTTCATTTATTTGAAATACTAGGCACAAAGCTAATGAGTGGAAACACAGTAATCATAGTGTTCGCAATTTATTATTTTAGATAAAAGTATCCATATCGATGTACATAGTAGTCTTTAATATACGCCTTATATGACCTCAAAAAAATAGACGCGTATTTTATAGCAAATCTAATGAATTTTGAAAACGAGGATGTGATATGTTGGTTAATCTCGACTATGGATAAAGGCGTTTTATTGTTATTAAGCGATTTACTGTTAGAACATAGGCCGGAATATTATGGATATGAAAACATAGTTTTAGTGGAATAGTTGGTGTCATAAATGTTAAGTTTTGTTTCGTTAGTAAAGTTACTATAATCTCTAGGAGTTACTACTCATTACTGTGTTATTGCAGAATAGCGGCCGTGAGAAGCGAAAGTTTTCCCAAATCAGAAAGAGTAAGGTAAATAGAATCCTTATTTAACTGCCATCACCGATTTATTCAACTTAATAGTATTAGCAGGTAACATGTACTAACTAATTAGGAAAAAATATTGAATTTTTTAACCTAAAGTGCTAAAGAAGGCCCTAACAAAGTTAGTAGCACCAAGGAATATTCATCTTTGTGAATAGCCGTACATAAGAGATAAAAGTCAATTTACTAAGTAAAGTGATTTTTGTTTTTAAAAAAAAAAAATATATATATATATATATATATATAATCAGACCCATTCGACTTTAAATAAATTAAAAAGTGTATATTTATAAGAAAATGTAAAGGTTTGCTGTAGGAACAATTTCAATTTTCCCTAAACGAATGGTGGATTTGAAAAGTTGTCATAAAAGAAAATGGTTGATTACCTCAGATGTATATTACTGTCTTTTTTCAAACTCTCGATATGTTTATAAAACCTGTTAGCCAAACTATCACTTGTTGGGTCCCCGGCCATTCCCTCTCAATCGTCTTATGGCCATCTTCCATGCCATTGTGGATACTTCGGACTTCCGCGTGGAACCAACAACAATACTGCAAAGCCAGGCAAGTTGTGAATTGACCAGATCCACTCTTTACACATTTTATGCACTGAGTTATATATTAGGCCTTTAAGTATAAATAACTGATAAACAAAATTGTGACCTCGTTTATATGTGCCTCTTAAATCCTATGTTCTTCCTACAGTGAAGGGGATAGATGCATATCGTTAAATAAAACTAATGAAGAATTTGAAAGCTAATTTGAAACTAATGAAGAATCTGGAAGCAAAGATACTGTTTGGCGCTGAAAATCAATACTTAGTGATTAAGTTTCGGGTTCTCGAAGGTGAGAAACTAAGAGATTGGGGAAAACAGTGAGAAAGGAAACCTGCAGCGAAACAACAGTTTGTAACTAGCGCAACCATTTCGAGGACCGGGAGTAGCTCATGCTGTCCGTGGCGGCGGCGTCTATAGTCCCGTAACCATCCTGAAGGCCAGACATTTAACCTTGTTTAACCCGGACTGTCATGTGACAAACAAATGTAATAGCCTATTTTCACCAGAACGAATAAAGGATCACGTTTCGGGACTCGCAACAGCCCCATAAAATTCAAACCCATGGGGGCGAAGGGACGTGTCGGCTGACCCGGTCGGTTTGAAACAACCAACGTTTTTGGCTCGGCTTCGTTAACTGACAGGCTTTGCAACTACAAACATACTCTCAAACTCTCGCCTACACTCCGCGCTCCGAGAGGTAGCGAGACATCAATCGGTGGACGGTTTTTATCACGCCAGCACCTTGCTGACGGCAAAGAGCAACCACCGCTGGCTTATTTAATCGTGGAAGGACGGGTTAGAGATTTCTACCTAGAGTTGATCCGATAAACTCTGGGGCTATTGGAATACTACTTTAACGGCCCAACTGGTAAACCTACCCCGAAGTCGCAGGTCGCTGTACTTTAAAAACGCAGTTGAAAAGGCGCTCATTTGAACGCCTGTATCTAGTGCTGCGTACAGCTGGCAAATCCACTACGCAAAGTTTAGCACCCAATAGTCGTATGCATGGACGAATGAATTGAAGTGCTTTCGTGCTTTACATCGGTAACACACGGCATCAGCTTTTTAGATCCGGTTTGGCCAGGCGCGTGCGTTCCAGATCGATTCCTTTTTTTATAGGTTTTATATCTGTCTATCTACGGTACCTTCAAGGTGCTGTAAATAATTAGATTTGCTGCTACGATGGAACTTGCGGAGATTAGACTTGCTGCTCTTTTGATGTTGAACACAAAAATAGGCTTCATTTCTTTTATCATGGTCCTTCTGGTCTTAATGAAGTCCTCAAGGAATTTTCCTTTAGCTTTCAGAGCTCGAAGAATTTCTTGGGAGGGCCGAACCCATTTGGGGAAAGCGTTCATTCAGTTTCTGCTGGACGACATCCCAGTTTTTCGACCAAGACACGATCTCTAGGTCGTAGTGTATTAGAGCGGGGCCGCATAGATACTGCCGTATCCTAATCCGCCAATACTAATCTGCCTCCAGAATTTTTTTTGACATCTCGTTGGCTGGCTATTGTCAAAGCTGAGGACTTCTGTCATTCAGCCTGCTACCGCAAACTCTTGAAGAAGCGGCATGTCATATCGTGCCTTTTCTGATCCTTCGAGTTGCCAGCAAAAAAATATTGCAACTACGAAACTTGACCGCTGACGACTAGCGATAAACCGGCTGGCTTCGATAACCGGTCGAATCTAAAAATATATTTACTATAATAGGTTATATATATATATATATATATATATATATATATATGGGAATATCGAAGTATGGTATCCCTGTTAGAAGTATGTTGCACAGTTCAGTCCGTTCCTTATCGCATTAATATATTTATGGCGTGTTAGTCTGACAGATGTAAAATATTTCCCAACTATCAAAACCTTTTGGTTCACTCTGCATGTATATACATATGTATATGTAAAGTGATCACTAGAATGAATTATGTAGGAAAATTAGTGCATGGTAGATATAAAAAGGGCAGTCCAGTAGTCGTTCCATTTATCGGATGTTATATAAGTTACTCTGTTTTTCAAACAGTTGCGTTTTTGACTGTCATCAGATACTGGGAATTCTATTAACATTGTATAGCTTGCTTGTACATGTAGGCTAAACCTGAAATTTTTATCTCTTTTTTAAACAAAATACTATGAAATAGACACCATACCTTTTCTTGTAATTTTACCAAGGTTTAAAATAAAATTAAATTACAGGCCAGATATACTAAAATGCTTCTCATAGATTTTTAAGTTTTCGATCTCATGATGTTTTAGGACACAATAAGATCTACGGTTTGGGGTTTTAGGATCCTCAATAACATATTCCAAATGTTTAAGTTCTAGCAATCCTCTACCTATAATAAGGTTTCGATATCATCGGCATGTCACGGGTGGCGTTTGCGTAAACCAGATATTTAAAGAGCCCAAGGGGCAGCCGAATTTGTAGTTTCGTACGAGTTTGTATGGACCTCTCACTTTCTAAAATATACATTTACTACTGAAAATAACACGCAATACGTTGCAGAAAACTTTGTATTTATTTAGATTGGTTACTATATATGTAGACGCGCTGCAGTAGTACGTCGATGACCTATTGGTGTATGTTAGCTTCAAAAGCGAAATAAAAGTTCATGAAGGTAACGCTGACACCTTTTGAGGAATAAAGATAGACGCCTATAAAGAACTTAATTGTCTTTGAGCATCTAGTGAAAATGGGCATTTTAAAGCTATTCGCATGGAACATTGTGCATTTATGTAACAAGCCATTTTCTGACCTCTATTGCCATGCCCTTCTTGAATACCTAGGCGATAATTTAAAAAAATTATATTACACTTTCCAACAAAATTCAGACCATATTGTTGCCGCTATTATCAGTCGCACTTTCTTTTCGTACCTTCTTCTGAGCATTGGCTCCAACTTAGAGAATGCAGTAAATATTATATATGAAATACGTAATTCGGCGTTTAATATATCAACCAATGATTAAAATAGATTCGGAATCTAACTACTAGAAGTTTCTAATTCTAGTAGAAGTGGCCTCATTCTGTGGACACAGACCTCTGAAAGTATTTCGCGACGCATCCAAGGTACTCTTGTTTTAACAAAGAAATCTGACAGGGAGAAAGTTATATTTACTTTTTTTGTGATATTTAAATTTTTTTTCTACGTTGCCTGGATAGCTTTACGCTTCCTATGTATAACTGTATTTTATTCGGTGCTAAAAGAATATTCTGCATACACACAACTTTTGTGTGCAATAAAAATAGTTCATTTTAGATCAAGGCATAAAAATTCTAGCTGACCGCGCAGGGCGTTGTTGGTAACGCGACGTTCTGCCAAAAAAATTAAGAGCACAGATTCGTAGGTTAAAGCTATGTTTTTTTAGAGAAAACATAGCACTTTCTTTAGAACATTTATTTAATTTACCTATCTCTTAATTGAGGTGTATTTGCTGCGCTATACGTGAAGTTCGTAAATATTTTTCTATAAAAAACGAGAAATAAATAAGTAGATATTGTTCACATACTCATAAAATAAGCGTTTCCTAAATCAATAGACAACGCAAACAATACCCTCTATACACTTTATACGCAAAAAAGGCAACCGTCCGTGTCGCCGTTGGATATGGAACAAAGCCCATTTTTTTTTAGACATACGTAGTTTGACTAAAGTTTCTAATGCTCACTAGTTAAAGTCTTATAGCTATATTATATGTCATATAAGGCCTTATATTCGTTTACTTCTCCAAGGATGTAATGAGCGCTAGTATGATATGTGTAGCGTTGAATTTATCTTATCAGGACCATAATGCAGATGTAAGTGCCTGTGTCTTTTTCTAGTGATAAACTAGCATCCATTAAGGTTATGAAATTATGCATAGATAGCTTTCATAGGATTGATTGGCAAAAAGACTGCGTTTAATATAGTATATAAAAACATGTAAGTGGAAAATGCATCATCAGGGACTGTATTCAGAAACAATAAAACTTGGTCTGTTCAACTCTGATGAACATGATCGCTTTCAGTATAGGAGGGAGTATGGCACCATTCATGACCAGATACCAGCCTAGTAAATCAAGAAGCCGCACGACATCTTTCCTATCCGAAATTTTTCAAAAACAATTTGTTTTAATAATTTAAAGGAAATATTTTTATTGCTCCGATTTTAAATACCTGGTTAGTCTAAGTTACTGCCACCGAACACAACGGTTTTGTTTGATTTATGTATTTTATAAAAACATATATTTCGCGGAACGACTGCGTTCATCATCTATCTGCTCTTTAGTTCGCTACGGGTCTTGTATTGAATACCTACTAACGCATTTCGCTGATCGGTACTTTTTTGCGGTATACACCCTGCACGCACTTCAAGCAGCTTTTAGGTTAAATCGATTTATGAGCCTCAATGTTCCTCGTTTCGGAAAGTATTTTAATACAGACTTAAACTATCTAACTTTGAATGGGACTTTTGGAGTAATTACGAAATTTGGCTCTGTTGCAATTATAATTTATCGGTTCGTATGGGATAATTATATGCAACAAACAGGACGACGCTATGCTGTGTTAGATTAGTGCAAAAAAATATGAGATACAAAAAGCAGATAGCGGAACATCAAGGAAGGTAATTTAAATAGAGTTACAGATTAAAAGAAATGGTGAAATTAGAAAATGGTAGAAATTCGTAACTTTAAGCGCATATACGTTCAAATATTGTAAAGCTACGGCGTTTGAACGTGTTATGTCAAACGTTGAAGAAGGCTTAAGTAATAACAAATCTTTTAAGTATGTAATGAGCACCAAGTTAAAGAATTTTATCATTCATTTTTATTACCTATCCAGTATCAGTTACTCGAAGTGAGTAATTGAATGAAATTTTCACTGGTAGTTACAATCTTCTGAATTTTGAATAAAATATAGAATGTCACTCATACAACATCCATAATAAAGCTGGAGAAATAGAAGGATGGATTTTAGTGCCATAAGTAAATTGATATGCTTCTGGCAAACACAAACGTTTCCCCTTGCTTCATCTAAACTAAGTGCTTTAAAATAATTGCCGTTCTTAAGGATCATATTTTAGTATAATTGGAGAAATATTGGAAATGGCCGACTCGCAGATAATGAAACCCTTACTCCTATAGGTGTCCTCACTGGTGCACCATCGCCTAGTAACACAAACTGCTGGAAAGGATTTATTAAGTGCGCCACGCTACAAATGCGCTGTGGACCTGGATTATGTGCTGCACATAGCAAACACTGTTCATTTTGATGTGACGCAGCATCTTGAGGATTTTAATATGTAAAATTTGTTTTTGCGAATACAAAACGTACATAGTCACAAGTGACGTGTAAAATCAGAGTTCTAACTGATGATGATGTCAGTCTATAGAAAATACACAAAAAGAATTGTGTGAAGCCTCGACTACATTCAATAATCTCAGCATTCTATGCGCAGACCTTAATTTCTGGTTTAATCAACAGCAACGATGCGATTAGCATTGATGGCGACAGTAGAAATAATAATTACATCAGAAGTATTTTTTCTTGCTCTAATGGCTTTTCTTGTATTATAAATTGAGAAGAAATAATAGAACCCTAAATACGTGTGAGATACCTGATGTTTACAATTGACTGGTTCTTATACAATATCCTGTGTATTAAGTCATTTATCAACAATTCAATTATATATTAACGGATGTATAATATGTCAGCATTCTGTTTCGCATGTCAAAAAATCAAGAATTGTATTTACCGATGTTGAACAAAAAAACAAGCTACACTGTTCGTCTTCAACTTAATAAAAGTTAAGTACTGTTCGAATGGCATACTGGAAGTTATTTATGTCCTCTTGGTTCTCTTGTAGTAAATAAAGATACATAACACATTGAAATATGTATAGGTAACGTTTTGAACAGGAGCTTGCGTGATTATGACACAACTAGCATAACAGGCAGACATAATCCCTATCCAACAAATCAGATTGTACATATGTTTTGCGTTAGACTTTCATGAAGAACTCATACAGCATAAACATAGAACATTCCGAAAGTTTGAAATATTTAGCTACAATAAGAAAGCAAACTTCAATAAAACTAACTTTTTTTCAACTTTTATTTTCAAGTTACTCATTGTAAGGAAGAAGGTTCTTTCATATCCATTTATTGTTTGTTGAGTATAACGTTGTCTACTAATCGCGTTGTTTGTCACTATTATAAGCACTCAAAATGTTAAACTTGCTTAAGTATTCAGAAAATAGTTGGTCGCTGCAGCGATTAGCTGAAAAATCGCATTATATGACTCCTATTTGAGCTCTCTGAGCTACTTTGACCTTCATCATATTTGTATAATATGAGTTTAAGAAAAAAAAAAAAGAACTTTTTTTGCAATGCGTAGTAAATGTTTGAGATACAGTTTATACATTTTTCTTTAAATCAAAAGTATTCCTGAAATGGAAAAAAATAACCATTCAGTGAAGGGTAGCTTCAAGAAAACACTGAGTAACAACCGCAACTTGCTTAGATTATAACATCCATAATAAAGCTGGGCAAATAGAAGGATGGATTTTAGTGCCATAAGTAAATTGATATGCTTCTGGCAAACACAAACGTTTCCCCTTGCTTCATCTAAACTAAATGCTTTAAAATTTAAGCCCGATGCCTGCCATAAAGCTTTCCTATAGTAAACTGCCCCCAGTATAAAACCAAGTATGCCCGGTTTTGAATCTAGACTTTAACTAGCAAGCATATTGTCACCGTGGTTTGAATTTCAGTGTTGGCAAACATTATAACTAGATACTAGTAATCAGAAATATAAAACGCGAATGAACAATAAGGATTTAGCGAAGGTGACGTATTATTATTATTAAAGTTAGTACTTGCTTATATGGTTGCAATGCCGTTTCATAAACATGTTGGAGAAACCTCTGAAAAGTCCAGCAAAGGCCTACTAACTAGCAAAGTTAAACTACTACTAGGGCAGTTTCTCGATGTAACATTTAAAAATGGGCGGTTCTGAGGACTTATTTACAGCGAATTAACAATTAATTGTGCTAAATATAAAGTGAAAAATGTCGTCAAGCAATTTTTCTTTAAATAGTTCCTTCTTTTACTGCTATTAGGTAGGCAATGCTTCTGTTTCAGAGCTATGCCATACACATATTATGGTTGCATCGGTGGACAGCTAGCGTTGATGTAAAGCAGTGAAGACTTCTGCAGTCAAGCGTTGATTTGAACAAAGACCTTTCCAATGCCGCTCATTGAACTAGCTAGTGGTGTCTGTCCGGTAACAACCATCGTGTTTTTACTTCGGACCAGGTAGCTTCCGGGGGACCCATCGCCAGACATGCAAATACGCCATTACCACGATCATTCGGCAGAAACATTACCAACATCAGCATACATTTATTATTTGCATCCGAAGCGCTAGCTATAGAAATCAGATTCTGAATGTGGGACGTTTACCTCTTCTGCCAGCGAGATTAAATATCTTACTCCTATATAATCTGTTTATGGTACGTGACCTTACACTGTTTCATTTGGTATCAGTTGAAATCCCCAATGAGAAAGGTTTCTTATTTGCATTTTTTTCTAACCCACCATGCCAGATAATGTTAGTAATCGAATTGTTTATTTGCTTAAGCTTACTGAGCTCAAAAACGTTATAAACTTACTTTACTTGCCTCAGGCTTTTTATATTGAAGATTCAGATTGAATGATTTTTTAGCCTTTCAATATTTGGAGATTCTGAGATTTATATGTTGGCAAATAAAGTTCTACCTACATCCATGATATTTCTTCCAAGCTATATATCTAAAAATGTTTTTGGTTTAAACGCCGTGGTTTCAGTGTTAGTATAATATTTAGTAATTGTTTTTTAGAAATTAATAAAGGTTTCACATTCTTGCGTATTGAATTGCTTCTTAAACACTAACCGAATAAACTGAGACGATTGTGGTGTCTCGAAAACAGGAGCCTTCGTGGAGCCACAGTTTTTGCTTGAGCTAAGTGTTCCCGGAGTAGCTCGATCGACCCCTCACCGTCGGTCTGTTGGGGATTTGGCAGCGGGGAGCTTAACATCTGTAACCAGACTACAGCATTGCTACGTTAGACTATACAACAAGTGGCTGCTAAAAGTGCTCAGTTGCCGATGAAGTTCTTGTCTGAGAATAACTTTGTTGTTGCCACTGATTATACTTACTCTATTCGATATATTTCGCCAACTATATCACGGTATGTGCAAGTCCTTTCCTAGCGTCGAAATACTGAAATACTCGCTTGGGAAGCGACCCTGCCAAATTCAATCTGAATCTGAGTTATATTACTTTAATTGTATTCAGCAAGTCCGTATTTGTTTTTGGAATATTATTATGAAAAAATTATCTTTCATGGGTACCAGATTCAGACCAGCACTCTTATTCAGTATATTGCTTTATAAAAATTAATTGGATACGTAGGCAGAAAGTGGATTTACATGGTGGTGTGTTTAGATACGTTCTTGCAACGGATTCGTAGTTTTTTTTTAATTATATAAAAATAAATTAATTGAGTACGTTCATATGTAGGTGAGATATTAGTAGAAGAGTTAGGTTGTTAATTAAAGTGTCCGAAGTTTTTGAGCCTCCATTTTTGCTCATCTCGATTAAGGTCTAAGCTAAAAATTACTATTTATTGGGCAGTAAGCGACTAACATCTATCTTAAATTCAATGTAATTTTTAGACGATATAGCAGCCTAGCTGGTCTAGCTCAACTATACTAATATGAATTATTTTATGAGATTGTAATAATGTTCGACATCCAATAACATTAGTTTTTACTACGGTACTTCGAATTTTTTTATCTAAATCATAATTAGTAATTAGCCATAACATGAACAACAGTTATGGCTGGTTAACAGTAGAATAACAGCGCTGACAAAAGTCTGAGTAGATTGTATAATTTGCAGTTTGTTTAGACAGGATTCAAACGGGTGAAGGATCACATACCTATTAATACTATACCTACGGGATGTGCTAATTAAATATTAGTTGTTAAATATCCCTTGCACTGTGTAAAGCCGTTGTCATGGAGACGAAGCACATTTTGCTAGGCGCTTGCGTATTCACTACACTAGGTCTATTTATCAAGATCTGTGTGGTCTCTAAGAACTGAATCACACAGTACATTAACGCTGTTAAGCAATTACTTAATAGAAGCGCAGTGAATAATCTTTAACATTTCTCAGTCGTTCGATCGTTTAGTTTCGCCAGATCTGTGCATTTTGCAAAAAGCTATGCCAAAAAGAGATTTTGAAGACCTGTCACACGAGAAGGCTGGTTGAGATTTAGCTTGAGAGATAGATCTTTTCATAATTAGAAAAATAATACTGTCATTTTGATCTATGTTTATTCTTTTTAACTTATAGTATGCGAGCATAATGCACTAACTTTTCTGTTAATAAAACTTCAATTTTTAATTTCGGTGATCTCACGGTAATAACCTACCGCAATGCAGTTCGCATGAGTAAACTACTGCGTTAAGGTTCCTGTTTCATTTGTACCATTTTTCCTATCTAACAAGGAGGCGTAGTTCCCCTCTCCACTACTCGGCGAGGAGTATAGTTAGCCCTTTTTCTCTGACTGTTCGAACTTCTTCGTCCCTCTCTCGTTTCCCGGCGTATGAAAGTCTATGTAGCGCGGATGTAGCATGCGACGTGTAGTCACGCCACAAACGTCTGTGAATTGTGCCTTCGATACGGCCTGATTTGTAGTGCTTTAACTGTCTAATTGTTTACCGAGTCTCCAAGGGACTGTTGGCAGCGAGGAACTCACTGACTTACGGTCTACAAACTGTAAGCCACTTTTTCCTGAGTAATAACAGCGTATTGGTTTAAATCGCTTCGCTCTGTAAAAAAAATACAATATCGGTTTTGCCCACTGAATAGCAGCACGAAAAACCTGGTAGTGGAACCCTATTACTAAAGTGAATGCTGTTGACTGGTCCTCAAAAAGGAAACACCATATGCAAAGTGTGTGCCATAAAAATGTGTAATTGAAATAACAATCAAGCTTATCGCAGGACTACCGTTTGCAGTGAATTTATAAAACATTAAAACGTGAATTTTATTTATTGCTGTGACCATAGTATCTGTGCAGTTAATGTAAGTCGACTTGCAATCAAGTGCTGATGTATTTCATGTGCTCTACAGCTTAGTGAAGGAACAGCCGATTTTTTTAGGCAATGTTCTTTTACTTCACGGATATCTCTACAAAGCGTCAATAAAATCATCTAGTGTAAAACTGTCGGATTGAATGCTAAGTTATGCCCAGTAAATAAATCACGTTGTGATTTAGCTAACAAACGACACGTTAAATGTTTATTTACGTGAAGTGAAATTTCCAGAAGAAACACTCAGCTGAGAAAAACTTAGAGACAAATGGTGAGGACTCTAAAAGCGAACAATAGGCTATAGAGACAATTCAGTCAAAGTACAGCGACACAATTCCACGATCATATCTAATTACTTTCTCAATTACAAAATAGTACAGATTGACCGTAAAGTTAGTATTACTTATTCTCGTACGCTTATAATAGCCTGACGTAAATACCCGTTAGTAAGGATCTCTTATGCTTGTCTCCACTAGTTTCTCCAATTTGTTGGGGTAGTTCGTTTTCCTCGCTAGGGAGCTTGGGGCGATTGGAATAGCAATATCAAGAATCAGCAGTGTATACTAAACATGAGGCCTGATTGTACAGAAGATTTTAACATCTACGGCGAAGAATTTTGAAATTCGGTTTGAACATTCAATCAGAGAAAGCTTAGGTGTGTGTGATCTGTAGCGACAGGGGGAATCCAATCGTACAACATTATCTTTTGTGAGCTCTGTCAAAATATATAATCGCTTAAACGCCTGCTTCTTTCGAGCTTCTAGATGTTGGCTAATCATGTCAAGGTTAGCCGAGGTATAAGAGCAGATGCTATCTGTTTCAGGAACCTCTATCGTGACTAGATATTTCATAGGATTCTCTTCTACAACTCAGTGTCTTAAGATGTCGTTTAAGAGAATGAATACCTTTCATCTTATTTATTATAGATCTGAAGACGCTTTAGAGTCTGTGTACTCAGGTATATGCACGAGGTTATTGTATATTGCCTTGTAAACTAACATGTTTGATGCCATTTCACTGGGAAAAAGAATTTCTTAGGCAAAGATGTTATCAATCTTGCTCACACTTTCTATTAGTTGGTTGCTGCCATACTAATATTTGCTGTGGATTATACTAGTAGCTGGCGTTTGGATGCATTGTTCTCCACAAGCGTAAATTGACAAGGCAAATATATTCAAGGTTTGATAAGGTAAAGAATAGTTATCATAATCCGAGCAGTTAAGGCTATTTTTACACACCTTAAAACAAGGATTTATTGCCCAGGTGTGAAGTCTTTGAATACCGTCGCCTTAGTTTAGTAATTGACCTTGAAACGATAAATGTTCAAACATTGAAGCATGTATGTATTGGTTATAACCGACGAGACGTGATCCAGAATTACTATTAAAGAAGGAATTAAGTTTGAAGGGAATAAGGGAAAAATAAATTTACGTTTATTAATACGCAAGAAATATATTCTATGTGTATCAGAATTTTAGGAATATTTTTATTATTTAAAAATGGCGGCATCACAACACAATTCGTTTAACGCGGTTTGATTCCACCTGTGTAGCTAGATCAATATGCCGATCAAGTTTTAATGAATCGATTTAGTAAATCAAACGTATTAACATGTTAAACATATTAAAAGCCTCACAAGTATTTGAGAGGCTATCACTATAGTCCAGATAGCTCTCCGTTTGCTAAATCACTTTTCTTTCTTTTTTATTTGTATATTAACATGGCTTGCCTATGTACGCCTGGGTCTCGTGTAAGATAACAAAGTCAGACCACGATACCCATCTTACACAGTTATTATGAAATTTGCATTGAGTTTGATTGATTATATTAAAAATATTGTAGATAAAAAATATTATACTCTCTGCACATCTTCGCCTCAATTTTCCACCACGTTCCTAGATAGAAAAAAATGATTGAATTCGATGATTTCTAGAAGTTTCTATAAAGTTATTCTTTCTCCCATTGTGAAGAAGTACTAACATCGATAAAAAAGCATGCATATCAAAGGTCCTTAGAAGACTGCCTTCATTGATTCAATTGTATTCGAAGTTTTTAGTTAACTGATCCGAGTCCCCAAAGACAAACCAATACTCGGTCATAATTTAATGACGTGAATGTATTGAAGTGCTGAATCGAACTAAGCTATTTAGTAGGACGTGGACGCTCAAAGGTGCAAAAACCTCGGGAGATTTATATTTTTATTTTACAAAACAAAGTTTTAAACAGATCCTTTTTAAACACTTGTCTTTAAACTGCGTGATTCTACACGCATCAGGTTCCTTTGGTAAAAGGCTCTCAAGATCCTTCACTTGCTTCTTTTTGTCAGTCAGATCTTCAATAATAAAATCTCCTACATTTTCATTGAAGGCCCACTTGAAAATTATGATTTCTCTAAAAGCTCTTATACTGCACAGATCGTGATCTCTGGCAAAAAGCAGGTTTTCGACTAGAATCTGTAAAATAGTTACGGTCGTCACAGGACTACCATAGCCAAACACGCGAATGCAAAGAAAATAAGGAAAAGTACCGATTTCAATGGTGACCATGATCAAATCAATAGGGACCACGACTTCAATTAGTAAATGATCTGACATTTTTATTAGCATAGCTTGCTAAGTACGTGATATCTAATACGGCTGATGAACAGAAAGGTCAACACAAAGCTGCTGTCAATACCAGTGTGCAGGAAAACGGCAATGGCAAAGTGACAATCGGATGGCTCTTTTTAACAAATTCACCGTTGGCTATGAAAGCGCATCGAACGACGATGCTATTCACTTTATTTTATGTTTCTCTAATTAATATGGTAAAAAACATCATGTAGGGATAGGTTAATGTTAACGTAAATAAGCGCGTATTTTGGCGCAATTGGTTGTAAATGAATTAGAGTCATAATAGAGAAATAATACAAAAGCTGTTGGAGTACATATAATAAGCACAGACTTTCTATAAAGTCATACAATAGTATCGCAAATATAAAATTTGCATGAAAGCTGTGTGAAATTTTTATTGAATATTCTTATAGAGCAGTATGTACTTTTTACCAGTTGCCTACAAGTAGCAGGTTGAAGAAATACTGATATGAGCATATGCTACCGAGGTCCGTAAAGTTAGACCTTGGAACTGAAATTGGATCCCGCGTCTGTACATTGATTAAACCATATGATAATGAATTTTAATTTTTAAATATAATTAAAGCATAATTTAATGATCACCCACGTTCTCAGAAGATACGAATTTTTACTCACTTCGGTTACAATTTAACCCACTGAAAATATTTTTCAATATGTAAATTTGCTTCTTTGCTTACCGTTTAAGTAATCTGCAGCGCACACACGCTCGGCTCTGCAGCTTAGATCGTGCCCAAACCAGCGAACGAGACGCCTACAAACTTCCACTATATTAATGATGGAATACGGGTAGAGCCACATTCGGAATAATAGTAATAATATCTATATAAAGCTATTTAGAAATTTTAGTGGAATTTTCATGTTAGGGTGCTATGGAGCAGGTACTCAAAACTAGTCTTAACTTATTCTGCTGCCAAAAATTATGACAGGTAACATAACCGCCATTAAGTACACATTTTTGCAATGTTCTTGTCTGTGTCCTACAAGCTATTGTCTACACTGCTGAAAGCAAGTCGAATAAAAAGTACATGCCATGTTAGTTACTTGTTTATTTTTAATGGCGTAGGCTAGAGTTGTGAGATACTAACAAACTGGAACATCTCTTTTAAATTCAGTCATCCTCCTTCACGGAAATATGCTAACATGTATTATTCCTTTTATCGTTGAGTTTACGTATCATTATTTACGAGATACCATTTTTATTACCCTGTTACGGTGTATTCCTATTATACAGTTTCTGGTATCGGGTCACCTGACCCAATATGGACTATTATTGTTTTGCCATATTTCAGAGCTACTATTCATGCTTTTTTCATTAAGCAAGTAGATAAGGGTAGCATCACCTAGTTGGTTTTGTGTCAGTGACAATTTAAACTTGACTTACTCTTTGTAATTTACGACTGTAATAAGAATTTGCTTCTCTAATTAAGTAGGTGCTATTCAGACGTAACGAAAACGCTTTATGCTGTACAAGGAATGAGTTTGTTTATAAGAGCCTCTGAGTTTCACCGTTGTGCATTCTATCAGACGGCTGGGTTCCAACACGAAACGAAGTCTCTCTATGATCGGGTGCCAACGTGTTTCTAAGATTAGAAGGCAATTACGTTACACACTAAGCTATCACGGGGACCTAATGAAGCGCTTAATCATGTGTCCACATGGTAACCTAGGTTCGAATCCGGACGCGGACAAACTTTTTCGTGCTAAGTGCCGTTGTATAAAGGAAAGTCTAACGGCTCAAATATCGGACGTAATTCATTTCGGAATCCCTAAAATTGTAATTTCCAGTCGGGTATTAACTATACCGATACTTTGAGCTGCCTTAGTTTGTTAATTGCTATGCCTTAGAAATTTTGGAACAAATATCTATTAACAGTTATCCTAGGATGACTTCCAGGCTTGTTTAAGCACCACGTATATATATATATATATATATTCGGTTTTTGTCATTTGGTGTTGTGCTGGTCCTTCTGAAGTAATTAATAAAAAGGTCGTCTGTTTTTCTAAATATGAATTTTATATTAACATCAATTGATTAGCATGGCTAATTATGCTTTAGCATGTTTTATATATAACTTTCTCCAATTCTCTTTGAATTGACCTATTTCTTTCCGATTAAGATGTGCTCACATAAGTGCATCATTCATACCCATTAATACGTAACTTTTAGTCATTTCGCAAAGAATTTGAGAAAAAAAGCATATTTTAATAGTTTTTATTTCTCTTTTTGAAATTAAAAGGTCGAAGACTTTTTTAAACCGATAAACAGCTCAGCCGACTTCTTACCTATGCAGCTTGGCATGCGTCGGTACGACACCAAAAGGAAATCGCAAGTCTCATCCTTTCTTTGTGTGTCGCAGCTTTTTTGACTAATTCGTTAAATTAGGAGTCATACGGAGAGGTTCCACTCAATTTTTAAAATCGGTAAACATTTGTGCCGTTATTTGTAGGTGGCTGTAACTTTCTATCGCCTTAGGATTCCTAAAATGTGACAGTATTTCCCATAGTGATCTTATTGTTGTAAATTTCATAGCTATCATGGGACAATCCTGGGATACACCACGTAGAAGAAGCATCTACAGGAATGAAAGACGTCTTACGCTTTGTTGGACAAAAAATCAATATGTTCTCTGTCAAATAGATGGATAGGTATGGGCTAATTTGAAGCTAGTTCTTTTTTTGCACTTATAGCTTGGCTTATGTGGTTTTGTACTCATTTCCCTAGGTCTGTAGATAATATTGTAGTTTATTTTCACTTTAGATTGTGCGTTTATTCTCTTTAATCCTTTAGAAAGTTGATTCATTATCCTTCAAATTTCGCTATTTCAGATATATTCGTTTAGATCTCGTGCTCTGTTTTGTCACACTCAATTTATTTTTCTCACTTATCCGTTTTCCATTAATAATATATTCTTTTCAGTGACGTAACGTTCACCACAATAATGTCCTCTGCATTGTTTGATTTCGGTAGAAGACCGACTTAAGTAGTCTAAAATAGTAGTCGACCTAAGATTTTATCTAGTCAAAGTAGGTGTCTGCCAGCTATATATGATGGGCCCGCTAGCTTTTCCAGGCATTATTGTCTATCATAATAATTGTAATAATAACACCTAATACGACACTATCTAAGAATAATTATTTTGTTCTGTATAAGTACTGTTCCATGAATCCTATATTATAACTTGGATTTGACTATTGCTTAACTGGGGTATTTATTAGATTCTATTCAATATTGTCAACGATCGCAGTATTTTCAGACAATCATGAACTTACCATCAGCGAATTTTGTGAGATTATGATAGCATATCTGTGACATTGTTTTAAGCTTTTGAAATAGCAATCTGTGGTTATTGCGCTTGAATCGCCCTTTATTAAACTCGCTTTTCACGTTCAAGCAGAAAAACCATTTAAAGAAACGACCTGGTCACAATTGCAGTTTTCTGTGTGAGTTAATATTCGATAACTTTACAGGCATGGAAGACTTTTTGTACTATTTACAGGCTTTTCAAACATTTTTTTCAACACAATCAAAAATTTCTCCAAGTTCCAGTACTGAGCCATAGTATCTTACTCATGAGCCATCATTAAAGTAAATGAACTTACCGTTATACACATAAAATCGCGTTTTCCAAACTATTTGCCGTAATTGTTATAGTATTAAATAATAAACATGATGCTAACGATCGTTCTCGTTAGGCACAGTAACGACATGAACACACATAGTGCAGATCAGCTATGGGTTGCTATAGAATCGATGTTTAGAGTCCATCTAAATATTATTATTTATGTGTCTATTAAATACATTTCGCGTTTAATGGCTTCCAAGGGTAACGTACTTTTTGGTGACAGGTTTCATGATAGAACATAACTCAAGAAAAGTCATTCTAGTTAGTAAAAAATAACGATATATAAATATGAACTATATACGTATAGTTCATATTTATATATCTATATAAATTTTCGATGATTGACCGTATAATAATGTAGTATCTTCTCCCGTCCTTTCTTGATTTTCATGCAGATTCCTCGGTGAATAGGGTATCACGTGCCCAAAAGGTGGGATAGCAATTCTGGCGTGATGGTAATATGATGGCATATTCCCGACTATCGCCACAATGAACCACCGCCGTATTATACCAGTAGGTTACTCCTGCATTTCTTTTCGTGACCGTCTGAGTTATTTACAAGTACATAAACCTGATTTCTCGATCGCGGAACTTTCGAATCCTACGTGGGACTTGAGCCCCTTTAGCCACCTTGAAGCTTACATCATCACCTCATCGAAGAGGACGTCATGGCTCGCACATCTCTTCGAAGACTACCTTTATTCGTTGGCCTTTTGCTGGGGGCCAGTGCTGCTTTGCTACTTGTAACTCCACTGCACTGCGAGGCCCCTCCGGAGAATATAGAGCCCATTATCAACTTGCAAACACGATATGTAGGCACCCGACAAGCTAACCAACCTGCGATTATACGGCCAAGGTGAGACGTTTCGTACCAAGTTTATTGTCTCACATATATAAAACTGACAATGCTTCCTTTGATTCAACAAAAATATTTATGGCGAATAAATGATCACTTAAATTAATTTACTGATTTATATATTATTCTAGAAAAAAAAATAGTTTTCTTCTATGTATATATACATATATGTTTATATATATGTAACTATGTATTGTTGAATACTGTTGAAAAAAGGAACCAAATAGAATAAATTATTTATGGATTCAGTATTTTTTTGTTTTCTTGATTAAATAAGAGAGTAATTAAATTATATATTTAAAAAAATTGTAAGCAGACAATGTTTAAGACAAGTTATTGCCTTTTTGAGAAACTTTTTATTGAATGAGAAGCTCAGAATATACTCCTTCAATATTAACGAACCCATGAGCTAGAGAGTTTTTGTAAATAGCTGGTTTAATAAAGCAGTAATTAAATTTCTTTCATACGAAAACGAGTTTTAGAAACGTTCGTAGAGCTTCTGCCTACTATAAGTTCCTGATTGTTTGCATAAATGACATCATGCATGCAAAGTTTTTTAAACCGCCAAGTTATGTCAGTGTGTTGTAAATATCGAACTCTAGACACACTTCTTGGAATTTTTTTTTGGGAATATATTAAGCGGCTGCGCTTTTACCTTAGAATATATAGGATATCCTATGGGGATGGAATAGAGGAACATCATACGGGGAAGTTTAATTTTTACCAGTGAGCTTTATGTCTTTTTTTCGAAAGTCGTTTGACTGTATTTCTGAATTTATATAATCATGCACAATCCGTTTTTAACTTTGTACGTTTTGAATACGTACATGCGATTTGATATTAGCTTAGTCTGTGATTTTCAAATCTCTATACTTATTAACCTCTTCCACGAACGAACCCTCACATTTAGTTCTAATTCGGTAATCCAGTATATATACACGGTTGTATATGACCTTTCCTATTATCGTCTGTGGTTTTCATAACATTCTCGCCTAAACCATATTCCTTCATTTTTGGGGGATAGCACATTTCTGGCATTTGACATCTAATTTTTGCTGCCTTCTCTGGTGACGTTGGATTTTAGGTATAATAGTTTTTTTTTCTATACTGAGACAAAGCTTGTTTACATTTAGCTCAATAGCTAAGCTTAGTTAACTGTTTAGTAATGTTGGCTTTCTACTATGTTAGCTGTACTGGTTTGCTAATGATACATGTATCATTAGCAAATGACGCAAGTTCAATGTGCGTACAGAGTTCACAGAAATCATCATAAAGAGAGTGTATTGTCTAAACGAACCCATGAAGTTCCGTGGTCATATTGTACAACAGGTAGCTCCATTCAAGCCTTTTACCACCTGCCGTCTATTAATTATGTAGGAGTTTTTCTCGTAACAGTGCAGTGCTTTATGCATTTGCCTGCTGAACTTAGGAATATGCGGTGGCTCGGAGGGTAAATTTAAATCCGCACGTGGACACTCCTCGTTTGTGCTGAGAGCCAGCCGTCGCAAGTAGTGCCTACTAATGGTTTTTTTTTTTAACAGTCTTGATTCCATTTAGACATTGAGTTAGCTGAGAACTAGAAATTTACTAAACATGTAAGACACCGCTGTTTATCAAAAATAATCAAATATCAGGTCTCAACCTCTGTAGACGGGAAGAGTTATCCATTTCGATTGTTATAGGGAAAATTCTTTGCTCAATACGGAGTTTGCACAGATGTTGTAAAAAGCAAACAGCCATATTATGATTTTCTTTTATGACTTGGTGTGGAGCTCAGCATCATGCAGCACCTGTACTTATATAAATATAGATTCATATAAATTACTTTTAATCTGTGCTTGATGATCACTTCACTACACCCAACATAATTCTAACTTTTGCAATTATTTTCCTTGTTATCTCTTCAAATTGTAGTTTAAATCGTTTTTTTAGTTGTTCTCCAGGCTTCAAGTGGTTTTTTTGGTATTTTATCAGTTGTTTCAATTTATTTTTCGGTAAATGTATTTTTGTATTTAAAGTCCTCACGATTAAGTTTAAGTGTGTCCCTTCTCATTTTCCTTTCTTATTGTTTGCTATCCTTATGACTGCCAATTAAGTTTCTAAATTAAGTGCATAAGCACCATCAACTTTCGTGGTCGTATGTGCTTATTCTCTTGCACTCCAGGTGCATTTCATAGAAAAATCTCTACTTACCTAGGAGTTACCTAGAATGTAAGGGAACAGTTACAAAACGATGTTCTGTAGACTGGAAGTAAGTCTATAGGAGGCGTTTATAAATGGCTTAAAGATCGAATTTTTTTCATTAATAAAAAGCAAAGAGACTATCAATTGTATTCTTCCATACAGAGAAACACATTGATAAAAATCTGCATTATCGCTAACAAGTCTACTATGCACTTACATTGTTAAAGAATGTCCACGTGCTTTTGTGATTAAATTTAACTGCGTTCCCTATTGCATGAGCTGATGTCTCTACTACCGAATTGCTATTAGTTTCTTCAGTATAACTCTGTGTAGCTCTCGCAAGAACTGTTCTAAAATGATCTAACCGTACAGATGCAATACGTAGATAGCTGTTTAATTACCGGGCAAGTATCAGAAGGAACGGGATTCAAATAGCAATCCGGTCTGTTGTCCAAGAAAAAAATTAGCGACTCGTAGGAAATAAAAAAACGACGACGTACCGATTACCTTCGTAATAGAAGTGTCAATGACCCCAATGTTACTAAATGTGACGGGAATGTTATTGTGGTGATAAAAAAAAAAAGCCAAATGTTGTTCCGGGGTGTTCCACGATGTATAACGGAAATTAGCAAGGATCACCGAGATTGGTATAAGGCATAAGTGAAATAAAAATTAAACTTTAAATAGATTGGGTAAGACAAAATCAAGGGATAAAAACTGATTAAAGTAATAATAATAATAATAACTTTGGAAAATAGTGGAGAACCTGGAAATGAAACAAAATGCAATATAAAACAAGACAAGTAATCCTATAGAGTCTAGAGCTTTAATCTAAGCATGTAAAAATTGTTGTTTGTGGACTTTAGTAATATAAAAATTTGTGCAGATGTATGCATTAGAAATATCTATCACTGTTACGGAAGGTAGAATTAATTTTATTAGTAACGACCGACAATGTTTATTTATAGTATCATCAAACTGAGCATTTTAGAGGTCGATTAGATTACTGAACGCAGACTGAATGAAAAACGTATGTGTGTAAGTTGAATAGGTAAATTTTGAATTAAACATTAAGTTAAAAAGTATGGTTGAGCTAATAAAAGAAGTAAAAGTACAAGGGAAAACTCAGTAAGATTTAGTTTTGCTAGTTTTTCGCCGGGTCCTTTACGATGATTATGCGTGCTACTATAATCTACTCGCATGTAGTACAAAGGATAGGCAGTTTGCAGTAGGGAAATGCGTCAAAATCTCCGTCAAAAAAACACCGTCAATTCATTTAAAAATTTTCAAGTTAATACATTTTAAATAAATATAAGGTTCAACCGAGGGTACATAATGAGTGAAGCTATGAGCAGTGTTGTGCAGCTTTCCCGTATTATGTATCTGTTTTTTACGTTGTTGTCCTTAGGCCAAAGATACAAGTGGCACGAGCGGCCATTGTAGTAGCGATTCACGTATGTGGGACTGATATGGTGCAGAAAGTATAAGTTTTATTTGATTTTTATATTATGTAAATCGAAGAGAACCGACAATGTCTGAGCTTTAAGCTCAACGGTTTCATGCAACTAAATAGAGTTAATTTTTATATAGTTTTATATCGCCGATAGACATTCCCTCAGACGGCTGGCCCCCACCACGAAACTAACTATGCGTCTATACCCACGTCTGAAGCTAGACCGCAACGTCCCTAAGATTAGCATGCACATACGTTACCCACCAAGCTATCCCTGAGACCGTGTACAACACTGCGCCAACAAACCACTGTGTGGGATAATGAATTGATACAGCTTTCTAACAAAACAAAATAAAGTAACATTGAGTTATTTAGCGCTAAACCCACCGATACTTTCTGTTCGTACCAGTCGCGGCCAAAATTAGCGGTGTTTGAAACAATGTGAATATTGTTTTTATAATTTAATCTAGATTACCGACGGCGTGAAAATCGATAATGACATGATAATGCTTGAATATGTGAACTTGTAAACAAAATTTTGCAAATTGTCAAATTGACCGATAGTGGTAGGTTTATTGTGAAGCCAGATGAGTTACTCTTTAGTCTTTTCACTTATAAACTCAGGTTGCTTAAGGTAGCTTCAACTCTAATAACCAATTTTCCTTTAGATTTTTCTCGACAGAGTTGGAGATTAAGGAAAAGCTTCTAGCAGTAGCCTTAGGCGAGCCCCACAGCCTGCCCACTTTCGGAGCTGCTTTAAATCACACATTGGGATCACACGTGACCAAACTGATATTTTACGTCTGTGCTTCTAGTCCAACACAAGACAGAGTAAAACTACGGCCCAATGTCGTTCACGTATCCAGCGGGTGTAACTCTCTTTTATATCATGTGCTCAGTCATTTGGCAGCGAGGCAGTTCGTCAAGGCAAGGACATCCTTCTACGTTTTACATTTCAATAAAAGATCTTGTGTTTGTTAAGCTAAAATTTCTTCGTAAAAAGTGAACAGGATAAGTTTAGTGATTCAAGTAACTGGCGCAGATGCTAACTAACGCCTTTTGCTAAATTACATATGTTGACATTATTGAGCTCGTATAAGCTGTTGAGTTACGAATGTCCATTGATAACGAGACAGTTTTTATGAATGGAGCTAAAATGTCGTTTTTATTATTCTTTGATATATGTTAATAAAAGGCCTATGTAAAAAATAAACTTGAGTAGCACAGGCACATTGAGCAACCAACCGTCACGTATAAGAAATATTTTCTTGAATGTGTTGATTTTATTATTACAGGACTATGATTTCGTGCTGATCACTCGCGATTCATCTTTCATTCGTGGTGAAAATCTCATGTCTTTAGTAAACCATATTAGCGTGGCTCAAGAGGTCTATATGGGACTGCCTGTTTCTACAGATCCTCGCGTCTGCGAACTTGAAGCTGGCATACTCTTCTCTAGGCCAACAATAGAAAAGGTAATGTGACAATTTATATCAAATATAACTCGTTTGTGTATGTGCACCGAAAAAAAGCGATACTTCGATTTTTGTCGGTCGATGTCCTGATACAGCTATATGTATTTCCAGGTACTCGCAAATCTTGAGCAATGTGCTTCAACAGATTTAGCTTCTTTGGGCGACGAAGATGTAACGGATTGCATATCACAACTAGCAGGCTTCCCTTGTCAAACTGCTCTTGGCCAAGGAAGATACCTATCTGTAGACGCCGAGAGAAGATTTTCTTCGGCATTATTTAATGACTCTCAAAGTCCGATCATCAGTGTGGCACCCCTGACATCCCATACGTCTTTCTACCGACTCAATCATTATCTAGATGGACAAACTTCTAGGAAGGTACGGCGCCAGCTTCAAGGTATCTCGAATGCTATTGCCGATGTTAATTCGAAATGCGACATGCCTGATAACGTATGGCCGAGAGGAGTCCGCTCGCATTTCAAACCAAAGAAACGCTTTGATATAATTCGCACAACGTACTTCAACAGGACACATGTACTATGGCCTGAAGATTCTCGTGTAGCGCTTACCTTGGATGATATTTCGATGAAAGACGTCGACGAGGTGGTTCGAGCCTGTGAAAAACTAGTGCAAAGTACCGTTGAACTCGTCGATGGTTGGAAAACTGTAGATCCTGCAGCAGGAGTGCGATACACCGTAGATGCTCGAATTCGTGGCGCTATGCGTCGTTTAGAAGTAGTTCGTCCGCTTTCTTTAACCGAACTCGTCGCCATGCCATACGTTACGGAAGAGGCGCGTATCACTTTAGTCCTCTGGGTCCACATGCACGAGGTCGAGGAGGTTCAAACATTCCTGGATCATTACGCTTCTCTTATGAAAAAAGGTGAACGAACTACACTTCTGTTGGTCTTTCTTCTTCAACGAAATGGATCTGAGAAAGTGTTCGACCCGATCAGAAGTGCAGCTGAAAACTACTCAAAACAATTTGGTAAAACACCATCCCGAATTGCCGTAATCAAAATTCGATGTCCCAAACACCTTCCAGAGTTTGGACTTGTTGATATTATAGCATCGAAGTTAAAAAAGAATGATATCATTCTTCTGATTCAGCCGAATGTGCTGCTGTCGGCAAATTTCTTAAACCGTGTCCGTATGAATACGATTCGCTCAGAACAAGCGTTCTTGCCAATTCCATTTGCAATGTTTAACCCCCGCATCTCTAAGATCACACAGTCTATGTCATTATCTAAAGATGCAGGCTTTTTTGATGAAGACTCCGTCGACATTCTTTCCGTGTACGCGGGGGACTATCTAGAGGTGCGAAGAACATTAGCCCATATTCCATTGGCAACAGTATCGGCAGACCTAGATCGGGAAGCTTACCGCAATTCGACCTTCGGAATTGCTGAGCTACTCTTGCTCTGTAAACAATTACATGTTATGAGAGCAGCCGATCCAGAAGTGCGACTAAAATATGTGCGTCGGGATTGTGATCGAATAAGCTCCAATCTCCGAGAAATCAGTCATTGCTACCGTTCGCGAAAAAAAAAGCTTGGTAGTAAGAAACAGTTAGCAGCTTTACTTGCTCCGCCTTAGAATAGAAAGAAACAAAACTATATATATCGACCTTATGATTTATTTTTAGGGTTTATCGACTTAATTCTATTTGAAACATAAACACGAACTGGGTGTGATCCAGTCGTGCAAATGTACTGAATTTTGTATTAACTATCTCCAAGCTAGACCCTTTCCTATTCAATTCATAGTTTGATAATCCCTGGTTTATACGAGTATGCAATATGTGTGACGAAGTTAAGCAAGCGGCTTTGAATTTTTGGCCTTATGCTTTCTGTTCACATGAACGTAACAAAGGTTGGCCATGTTCGCAAAATAGATGAACTACTGGCTTAGCTAAACTAGGTGCGATGGCAAATTGATTGTTGGATGTAGCCCTGGGAATTATAGGTAAGGATAATTGTTTTTTATTCCCTGTGGCTCCCAGTAAAAACAACGAAAATGTATCTTTCTGACAACCACTTCACTGTACGGTTACATATTACAGTTTAAAGTTCACTTCAACTTTACAGGAGATCCAAACTATTTTGAAAATTAAAGGTGCACTTTTAACTAAAACATTTTGAATTTCCAAGAGTCATCTAAATTACACGTAGTTCATGATTTGGCAGTTCGAAATATTTTGTGGCCGATAACTAACATTCAAAAGGGCTGCTGTTCGTGAGGTTTACCTAATTGTGTACATCAAAATTTTGGATGCTGCTTAAGATGCGCTAGACGCGCAATTGTATACAGGCTCTGTAAATAGATAGGCCAAATTTTAGGTTCAATAAAATTTTAAATCGTTTTATTACTCGCTGTATTATCATTGGAGATATAGCTATCATATAGAAGTTATGTTTGACTAGCGTAAATAGTACAAGATTCCTTACTTATACGAAGATGGTTTCTTTTATACCACGAACATTATTGGCCGTTACGGAAATGGCTTTTTAAGGATTTCTAATCTATAAATAAATCTAACTTATGCACGGTTACTTTTGAATATTGCACTAATTATTGTTAACCCGTTTACATAAGAAAACAGCGCGCTTAATCTAAATGGCACAGTAATTAATCCGTACACGGCCTAATATGACTTGAACAGATATCAGACGATCAGCCATTGTTGGACCTTCGATTGAAGGCTAATGTCTTTTTGGACGTTTATTACTGGTTTCTTAACTGTATATGATCGAATTTCGAAAGTCCAGGTCAATACTCATATTTAAGATATATCTATAAATTTTACTTGGTTTGTTTATAGGTTTTTTTAAACAATTTAAACTATTTTACAAACACACGAAGAATCTTTGTGAGGTGGCAGTGAAAAAAAAGACTGTAATATCCTTGTATTTGCCTTTTCTGAGTCATTATGTGACTCCAAGATTGGTACCGTTACTGTTTCCTAGTCTTGCGTAGGACAAGCTTCGAAATAGCGTAGGTCATTTTGGAAGCTCCATTTTGGATCTATCCAAGTATCTAATATAAGTTCAAACGAACAGAAAATTCCACTTTAAATTGTGAATACCTGAAAAATCTTAGTGAATGCACGAAAACTTCACATGACCGCTTCTAACTTATTTGCTGGTTTTATAGGTTGACTTAGGTCGTGCGGCTATGGATTGTGATACTGGAAATTTTGTTTCTTAAGAGGAATGATCCACATCCTCGTCTGCTTTGTTCGGAAAACATATCTCATGCGATGTATCTTGGCTGTCTGTGCGAATGTCTCTCCTTTTTCAGGTATAAAGAACGTCATAAACACGAAAATCTTATCTTGAATTTTCTTCTTTTTTCAAATATAACTCTGGAGAAACTTCAACAAACGCAAGAGTGGCAGTTAGCCAAGACTGTATTTTTGAGTACGCGGTTGTTTCGCCAGCGAGCACGAGGTGTTTTGATGGTGTTGGTTCGAGTCTTCCCAGATACAATATACAAAACATACGTCAGAAAGAGAAAATTAGTTTATTTTTTTATTACTAGTGCGTGTGAACTGGTAGTTCCTCAGCCACGTTAAACTTTTGCTTCATTGGCGAACCAATTGAGCAAAAAAACTGGCACATGTTTATGTTGGGACCGAGTACTTCTCCGCGTATCATCGTAAAATGGTATTCAAATAGAACTAGTAGCTCATAATCAATGATCGAGAGTAAACCAGATCCTTCCTTCTCCGAAACTCACCACGCTTGGACCAAATATCCTGTGGCCGTCGATGATTCGTAGCTCTGCATGTCACATTCGGTTTCTAGTCGCTTCCTTTCGAGTCTTGGCTGGCCAAAAGGAGGCTAGTCATTTCATTTGTCGTCTCGACCGATTCCTGACTATACTCAAACTGTGTGTGCGTGGGCCTCTCCACCCACGGAGGCCCTGTAGTGTGTGCCTTGGTGGAGGCAGTAGTTCATACAACAGGCGTGCCAGACGACATCAAATAACAGGCTCGTATAAACACATCACTTTCTTCTTTACCATTTCCAGGGTCTCTCTCTTTCGCTGTTAGTTGCAGTTCACGTGAAGACAGGGAGTCATTTGATGATAACCATGCCGTGAGTAAAGGAGATATATTAGACATTGGTTTATACCTTACTTGTCGACTTGACCTTATGAATTACTTATGACACCTTAATGTTCTAGCTTTACCTACGTGCAATACCTGAACGCATTGCAGTGGGATGGAGCCTGTCCCTGACCTACAATATATTTGATTTAAAGCCCCGCTAGTTCTATGAACAGGTATCTTACCTGTCCTTAAATCTTTCTACTTACACTATAATATCTATTTTGATTGCATCTTGAAGTTATCATAGCGATTTTAAAGCTCTAAATAGTTAATACACCACTGCTGTTCCACTTTCCACCGAGATTATCGAATTAAGATAATCCCGTGAATTTTTTTTTAATGTTAGTTCTTAAATTAATAGAATCACATAGTTCTCTTGCGCTAGCGAATATTTAAAGGAAAATGTGCTGCTTGATCCTACCACTATGGTCGTTAAAAGCAAGAAACAATCAGTTTAGCATTATGCTTAGCTATGTGTAATTAAGTAGAACTAATCACTTAAACAACAGCCTCTAATTAATTCCGAAAATGATAAATGCAAATTTCTCGATGTTTTTTCTTATTATTCTTTGATTACACTCTTACCAGCACGATCATCGATAAACTTACTGCTTAAGATTCTATATATTAGGAACTGGTCCCTACCGTAATGTTTATTTTGCATTTTTCTACAGCAAATATATATATATATATCTAGTACAGAAACAAAGTATACCACCTTGAAACATTTAATAGATTCGGTTCCTCACATGGTCATTCACTAATACATACTAGGGTTACTGGTTATCGAACTGATGCAACACCAAACTTATTTAAAGGACCTTTAGTTGGTCAAAGAATAAATTTTACACATTCAGGCACTGATAGCCAACGGAAACGTAGTTTTAGGGCACACATTCCCGTCAAGCCCTCATGAATATACGCGGAGGGCCTTTTAATTAGATATTAGTTGGAAACGCTCTACGTTTCAAAACGATGATTCTGACAGAATTCCGAAGTTCTATATGCCTCTGTTTATATTTTTATATAAAATCACTGGAAAATCATCAAGAAGATCAAAAATGAGAAAAATATTAGAATAGAGATATATAATGGATAGAGTTTACCGTTTCTTGTTTTTAAAGAAACATTTTTTTTAATATACAAGTCTGTTATGTTTGTTACACATCTAAGCTGTCCTATGAGAGCCGCCTTCAGGCTTCAGCCTAACAGATTTTCTGAATAAAACATGTTCTTATGTTGGTTTCTATTATAATAATAGCGTCAGGCATTGTCCAGTATATTCCTCGCAGAGTTAACATCTGGGCACATCGTCGACACGACATTCGGGAACTTCGCCCATGGTCGTGTACAGCACTAGTGGTAGCGTAGTTTCTAAAGTACGCGATTGTCCCAAATAAAACGCAGCCAAAAGTCTGAAAGGAAGGAGTTTTAAGAGGTGGTTCCTTTATTGATGTCGTATTTTTTGATTTTTCGTAGAATCTCCGCTGCTGCATCTTTTTGTTTGTCCTTCTTCTACCGTTTTTGAGATCAAAGCAAACCTCCTGTTATTTGTGTGTTACTTCTCCTGTTTTATAGCTAGTGGCGATCTCGAACAATGAGAAAGCGTCTTAAGAAGAGTTTCCCTTCTCCGCTGGTGCTCAGAAATCTAGCCATCTAAAAGGAAGTCCGCCCAAAGAAGAAAGGCGCTTCTACTACGATCAGAGTGGGTCTTAATGGCGCCTGTCCGGACGTGGATGGCACATATAGACGTTTGTAGCCTGTGTGCCTATGGACTTCGAGGCATGACACTTACCACTATAAAGATAGCGATTACCAATAAAAAGCTCTTTTAGCAAAATTTAAGTAGCAGTTGAATTCGTGAAAGTGTGTAATGCGATAAGTTTGGGCCCCAGGACTAAAGACTTTTTTATGTACTTGGTGTTTGTTCGTATATTTTTATTTGTATATGAATTGTCATTTAATTCGTCACTATTATTTTAATGCATTACTGGGTTATTCTTCGTCCAGTTATACTAGCAAAATATAAACCTCTGTGTTGCAATATCTTGTCTGTTATTACTATGACGGTGTCGATCCAATGACGCGATCGTCAACCGTTAACCATCAGATAATAACCGTATAGCTATAAAGCGCCCGACGGTGTGCTGTGTACGTTTCAAAATGAAGCACAACGCAAATATCCTACTCTAGCTATGTCGCTCTCTGATTGGCGTTTTTCTAATAGTATGATGTTTAATTGTCACACACATAATATAAGTATTAAATTCGATAGAAGATAGATGTCTTAGGTGCATGAAAGGAAAACGAACATCTATGTTGCAATATTTTGCTGGTAGCAGAAGCTGCTAATGTCGTTGTATAAATAAGCGTTAGAATGGGGTAGATAGGGTAATAATGAGTGTTCTATTCTATAAACATTATTCAAATAAAGATCTCTCCTTGCTAAATGTATTTCTGACTGAGACATCAATATATTTATTTAAACTAGCTATATTACGCCATTTTTGCTCATTAACATTTTTGATAACTCTAGCATCTGATATGGTTTACTTAAATCATCATCGGCAAACTTTTGGCCAGAAGAACCGAGCTGGCGGCACTTAATTTCTTAAAGCTATTTTCCTAGCCATATCGTAAAAAATCAGGTACTAATATTTGTATATTGTAACATTTGTACTAAAAATTATAAGATAAATCCAAATTGAAATGTGGATTCTGCTCTAAGCGCTACATCACATCGCTGCCACTGAGAATTGTAATGAAATTAACTTGGAGGCAAAGAATTTAAGTCACTATTAGGACATAATGCACTAACGAGGAATTTGCTAATTCAAGCAAAATTGCCAGCATAAATTAAGCTACCTGTGTAAACAAAGGAAAAAAAGAATTTCAATACCTGCCATCTCTGATGTAGGCTTCCCAAAACGAAATTTCATCGAATTGTAACTGCCTCTTTAGCTATTTATCTGGAAAAAATATTCGTAGAATTTTCAGTGATATAGCCATATGCCAGACGTGTTTTGTTTCGAAGGGAGTCGCTTTTCTTGGTTCTAACATGCATTATTCGGTCAAATTTGACCGCATGGCATGGTTTACATACAGCAGCTACCGTCTGTTGCGATTTTAGCTACTGTGGACTGTGTGGGAAAACAGCTAGCTTGCTTGCTTTCCATCGCTTGTAAATGGTTAACTGAATTATAGAGGTGCACATCGATTCTATGAAATTGCCTGCACGTCTA